CTCAAAGATGTTGGGGAAAAGAAGGTTGAGCAGATGGACCATGGCATCCTCGCAACCAAGACCGATAACACCAAGTGCGACGTGCTTGACCGCGCTGGCAGCGGTCTGTCGGTGGACTTGGTCACGGTCGACAAGGGCATCCTCGAGGAGTGGAGTGACAGCGTAGACGTAATCCTTGCCCATCTCGCCAATGTACTCGAACAAGAAGGACAGCGCCTTGAGCACACCGTTTTGCACGTTGAGATCGGGCACCCGGTACTCGTTCATCAGTGCTGGTAGAACAGTGAACGGAGCACAAGTTTCGGCGACGATACCGATGGCAACAGCTGTACAAACACGCGACTGACGCTCCTGTACTCGTAAGTTGCCGAGAAGAGCAGCGAGGACATCCTGGGGACCAATAGCCTTGGCAATGAAACCGAATGTGTTGTTGGCTGCGCGACGAATTCCCTTCTTGTGAGCCTTGAGCATATCCATCAGCTCAAAGCAGATACGCATCCATTCACGGGCGTTCACGGACTCGGGACCACGGTCGGCAATACGACCGACGAGATCAATTGTGTTCTCCTGCACCTTTTCGTGACGGTTGCGCAGAATGGGGGTAAGTCGGGGGAGAAGATCGCGGATGGGTGGCTGCATCTGGGTGATACCGACCACGGTGACGATGGCACGCAAAGCACCCAAGATCGAACCCAGAACCTCGGGATATTCTTCACCTAGGTATTCGTAGAGCACGATACCAAGCTTGCCCATGAGAGCTTCCTCGTCACACTGCTTCATCACCAGCGCAACGCGGGAGATAAGATCGGCTGCCTGTTGTCGAACAGTGGGGGACTTGTTGTTCAGACGCCAGAGAATGGTACTGACAATCTGAGGGATATATGCCTTGCATCGTGTGCCAAGTGCATTCACCACCGTGCCGAATCCATTAAGAATGACAAGATCTTCAATGCTTTGTTCCTGGAAAGCAAAAAGGACACCATCAATGAGGCGTTCTTCCAGCCTCTCAGAAATGTCAGCAGCTCCAAGTGATGCAATCAATTTTTCAACTGTTTCCACAGTCATCTTGCGATATGGCTCGCTTTCGTCCTTCAAGTTGTTGACGACGCGATCGAGAATCTCGCCGACTCCCACTTTCTGGCCCAGGTCCACTGTGGTATCGACGACCTGACGGTAGTTTCGTCGGTCGAGTGCCATACGTCGCATCCAGAAGCCCTTGAAGAACTCTGTCAAGACGTGCTCCTTCAAGTAGGTGGCAGTCACACCTTGAGTGCTTGCACACTGAGAAACCACCTTCAAGACAACCTTCTTCATTTCCTCATCTGGCGAGGCGAATTCTCGAAGAAGGATCTCCATGATTTGAGAGGTGTAATAGTTGGCATATTCTTCGTCCATAAGAGGAATGATATAGCCGACAGCCTTGAGGAAGGCAGAGAGGCCCTTGCCACGCTGCTTGCGGGCACCGGTCCAGAGAGGACTCAGGATATCATCGAAACTTTCAATGCCGTATGGGTTTGCAGCCTCGGCCAAAGAGGCCAGAGATAGAGCGGTGACGGTCCGAACCTTAGCTTGTTCATCACTAAGGTTACCAGAAACACATCCAACCAGCTCCTTCAGGTGAGGGAGAATGGCGCAACCCATGAGAATAGGGATATGCTGGACAATCTTGACACCGGTGTGTCGGGCCTGCCATGACTTCTTACTGCGGCAGACAGCGCGGAGGAAAGGAAGGAGGGCGGGAATACCGAGGGCAGAGGCCACAACGGCGAAGGCGCGTGCTGTCGTGTTTCGCACATATTCATCGGCGTGGTCAATATCAGGACGCATAGTACTGATCATTGTAGCAAGACCGGCGGCCTTGGCAAGGTTCGAGATAATCTCTCGGCCTTCAACACGAGCGTAATAATCCTGATCAATCAGTAGTGGTTCGATGACGACCAAAATCTTATGAACATAGGGGCGAACTAGATCATCCAGTTTGTAGAGAATTCGGTCAATGACCTTCACCAGCAAGTGACGCTCCTGGTCTTCCAGAGTCCTTTCCATGAGCAGGGGAAGAATCTGATTGAAAAGAGCCCCGGGACCAAAATCGCGTGCATTGTCTGTGATTTGACGCAGAGCGGTCTTACGCATGGGCGGGGTACCGTTCTTGATCTTGAGCAGCAATCTCATAATCTTTCGCTCCTTCATCTCTTCCACAGTCATGCTGGTTTCATCACCAGCCTCCATCAGCTTGCCGAAGTAGGCCATGTCCTCAGCCTTGAAGAATTGGAGTTCACCCACACCTGGGATATCGGTTGGAAGATCCTTTCCTACAGACTGAACACTTTCTGGCTCTTGCATCATGAATCCTCCGACACCACCAGCGCTAGCCATGGGTGCTGGCGTGGCTGTGAGCCTGCGGGCGTGGGTTCGGATAGGTTCATAACCGGGAGGAGGGTCGAGGATCTTATAGCCACCGGCCTCACCGGGAAGCATGATATCGAGGTCCTCATCAGACCAACCAGCAATTTGACCGGGCACATCAGCCCCAAACCCGACTGCTGTAGGGGCACCTGCTTGGGACGGATGCATGGGAGTGGCAAGTCCTTGGTTGCCGACGGGAGTGGCCGCTGTGAGGGATGGCGCTAGATCCCATCTCGATCGGGCGGATTTGGGTGCTTCTTCGGGAGCAGGTGCTTCATCGAAACGCGATCTTTTGCCTGGTTCACCACCAGGCTCGTCCATCGTGCCCCATCGGTTCTTTCGCTTTCTTTCGCTAACCACCGCAACGGTTGAACCCGCCTCGGCATTTTCTTTATCTTGTTCCACCCTCTTCAGGGTAGCCTCGTGCTCTGTGACGTCTTCACCCTTCTCGCGCTTCTCTGCGATCAGCTTGTGGACACGCTCCTCCTCCCTCTCCATCTCGCGGATGGCCATGACCTCACGGTAGGTTTGACTCTCTCCTTCAACATTCGCGTGGGCATTGGCAGCGAAGGGATCGGCACGTGTCGGGGTCAGGGCACCACGGTTGAATCGACGCTTTTGGTAGTCTGTCTCGCGGTCTGCAATTCGAGCTGACTTTTCGCGGCCTAGCAAGATGTCCTCCTCCTCAACGCCAGCTCCTTGCGCCATCTCATCAATCTGGCCTCTGGTAGCAGTGTATTGGCCAACCAGTCGGTGTCCTCCATCCGCGTCTTCCATCTCTTCATCACCATCAACAGCGATCGAAGTATCGTAGTTCGAAAACTTATCTGCTCCATCGCGTTCGTACAAAAAGGTGTCGAAGGATTCGGTCAGGGAGGCTTTGGTCGAGTTATCGGTACGTTGAGCAGATTGATCAAAGGTCTTAGAACCCTTTTTGGCACTAGCAGCAGCATTGCGCTCAGCTTGGAGCCGTCGAACGGCCTCAATATCGGCTACAGTGGGGATCAGTATGGAGTCACGCGGGAGAGCTCGCGAAAACCTACCGTCAGACATGGTGACGAAATGTAAGAGTCGCAAGGATATGAGTGAGCCTGTATTACCGCAGAAGGGAACACCGCAGCTACATCCGGATTGAAAACCGCTGTAACGGTCACAAAAATGGTGATTGAGGACGCTGTGTTGCTAGCCGCCTCGTGATGAAAAAGGTCGTGATTAGGTTGCACGTGATTAGACGCTGGTTTCTTCCTAGGTCAGGTTGGGTGTCTACCTGATCACGTGCACTGTGACATAATCATGATCATGCCGGGCGGGCCGGAACCCCCGAGCCATAGATAGGGCGGTCAACAACGTTAGCGGGACATCGATATGAAAGGACATTGATGAAAGGAAAATGGCGAACATCCCAACAGAACAGGAGGGAATAATGAATTAAATAACAACCCAAAGAGATTATGATAGATGATAGATCCTACTCAAAGAAAGCCTAAACTCCCAAAATTTTACACCAACTCTCTGTGAGCTACCTCTAATTTCTGGTCAGAAGCCATTGATATTCTACCTAGCAGTGCCATTCTGGCCTCTTGACTCTATAGTTAATGCTATAATTCCTTGTACTTAATCAACCCTGACAATGTGGTTTATGGCTTATAAATCTATATATTTGTAGTGCAGCCTGATTGGTGCTCAAACCCGTGGCGCTGCGAGGGCGCTTATGGTCTATTTATGCTACAACCGGTGTGCCAGGGAGATTGAAGGTCTGCATGGACTTTAGTGTCCCTGCACGCTTGAAATTAATTGTCTAATTTTAGGACGAAGGTTCTAATACGACTGGGGATAAGAGCAAGAAACTCTCCGATAGCCAATGATAGATCTAAGCTATAGTAGGTACATCAAATAAGCGCTTGCAGCATTCTAAAATTCGGAAAGATGAACTTGATCAATATGCCTTCTAAGGCTGATTATAATGATTATAGATGGTATACTATTATTGACAAAAACTACGCAGTATTACCGATATCCTAATCTCTTCCAAGGTTGTCCAACATCAAAGCAGTTTTCTGATGGTGCTAGTGTAACACAGAGCCCTGTGGTTACATCCTTTTCATTCTAACCAACACAAATTAAGAGCTCATTTCCTATATCTCTAGTAACCTTTCAAAAAAGGTGAGGTTGACAACAAAGAGGCCAATTTTAGCACACCGTTAGGCCCGTCAGTGTCCCCAGTCAGCAGACTCGGATAATTTCCAAGCTATAATATGTAGAAAACTTAAATGTAGACGGCGGTAGAAAGTTATATGGAATCTGTCATTGGTCCCCTTAAAGGTTTATTGAACCAGAATCCACTACGCTTAGATTAATTGGGCTTACACCGAGAGCCAGGCGACCTGTGCGGCGTATCTCATACTCCGAGCATGTCCTTTGTTACATATCAGAGTAGCCTTGCCAACTCTTTCATTAAATGCGATATATCCTCTTTTTGTTGCTTTTATCCTTGCTTTATACCCCATTTCCCCTTCACGACCGCAAAACTAGATTTACTCGAGCAAATTCTAGAAGCTGTCTGCATCTTATAGATCCAAGATTACCCGGCCACCATGAAGCTCTTCTTAGCGCTGCCATTGCTCCTCGTAGCAGCAGATGTGGAAGGACACTCAGGTCTTCCTCATCCTCTGGGTCTGGCTGCCTCATTCTCCCGAATCTACCACCAACTTGACGATATCAACCTTGGGAATTGCTCTCTCTCAAATGTATACCTCTCATTGAATGAAGAAAAGTCATCGCTTCCACACCCATCCAAGAACTTGACTCTCAAATATGTTGCATTGGGCCGAGGAACACAAAACTACACTTGTCCATCAGATGCTTCCTCAAATTCCAAAACCACCGTCGAGCCCACAGCTGTTGGTGCTGTCGCCACGCTCTTCGACGCCTCTTGCATTGCAGCATCATCTTTAGCTCTCCTCCACGAAGTCCCTGCGCTTATCAGCAAAACTCCTGTTGGATCTCTCGCCTTCATGGCAACTCTTGTATCCCAGGGCACGAGAAGCACAAACCTCATTATTGGTGAACATTATTTTAATGATGGCGGAGATCCCGTCTTTGACATGGAGCTGAGTGGCTCCGATTCATGGATTGCTGCTAGTAAAATAGCCTCTACTCCAGCGCCAAAATCCAAATCCAGATCCAGATCTAGATCCAAAACCCCCGGCGATGTTCCGTGGCTTAAGCTAGGACAAAAGAAGGGAAATGGTATTCAGGTAGGCTCAGATTACCCAGAACTCCCAGATCTGGGGACATTTCTGACAGAATTGTTCTTTATAGGAAGTTTACCGAGTTGTGACATCCCTGGGTGACTCGCCATCTACGTGTGCTGGTCAAAAGACAACGATTGAAGTCGATTATGCTGCAGAATATTGGTTTTACGGGTGACAAAAGCGTGCTAAGTTCCAGTTTGAAGCTATGGTGGACCCTTGGAGTTTTGTGTTTTCTACAAGCGATGTATACGACTGCGAGAGCAATCCTTTTCTAATATGTATCTAGAACTGTGTGGAAAAGACAGTTCACGAATTTTATTGAATTTATTATACCCAGCCACCTGAGTAGGATTTTGTATTGTGGGATTTCTAATAAATTTGAAATCTAAAGTAGAGACTACACCTTTTTAAAAACGGCACCAGTTCTGTTTCTTCTATTTGTTGTTTGACAGTATACCCTGGATGATAAGCCCTGACTCCCCCACCCCCTCAACTAGGCGCCCTTCATCCTCCCACATGAAACAAAGTCTCAGTCTGCAACGCAAATCTCTCCCTGGAGCATTCCCTGGAACTGCAAACGTCTCACCGCCACCTGGGACCAAATTTTGCTTCTCTAGGGCTTCTCGGCGCACTTGAATTGCGGTCAATGCGGCTGGAAGCTGAACCCAGAGGCAATACCCCCCGCGATTGGTCTAGTTTCCAGATCAGGAGTAAATGATACACTAAATTGACAGAGATGTGTTTCGATTGCTGATGCTGGGGTACAATGCCTTCTTCGTCCTTCTGGAGCCAAGAAATTGGGATATCCAGGCAAGGAGTTATCTTCAAGCAGCTCATTGATGGAAGTTGACGTTATTTACGAAGGGGCACCATCAGAGCGCGTAGAACCACTGCAAGGAAATTTTCAGTTTGTCTTCAGCTTACTTGAAGGCTTGAGAAAGACCATAGATGAAGTCCTGTGTGCTGCAACATCCATTCCCTCCCCATCCTGGGGTATCCCTCGCATTCGCCCACTAAACCCAGTATCCTCAGATACCCAGAAGACAAGATGATTCGTCGGGGCCATAGGCAAGTCCTTCGGTGAACATGGTGTTGTTGGCTGCTTGTTTGAGGCGTTCTACTGGAAGCATGGCCGTTGCGGGCTATACATGGGAAAGGTCAATTTGAGTTGTAGGTGCCATTTCTGATGATAATTATACTTGGCAGATTTGAGAAAATTGACTTGCTCTTATCCTTGGGGCTTGGAAGATTTGTATTATTCTTGCTTTGGGGATATAGGCGATCTGCTCAATCACATTGAACATCTGCTATCATTCTTCCCCGGACAAGATGGACAGTTGCTTATACTATGGATTCTATTACTTGATATCTTCTCTCTTGTCTACAGCAATCCCCAAATATTGTTGAAAGAGAAACGATTCTCTTATTGATCGTATTGGTAAATAATGAAAACCCTTGAACGCCCGCAAGAAAACCACCCATTTCACGAATGAAACCAATAATAGGTCAGCGCCAGGATGAATGCAAAACGTGAAGAATCAAAAAATACAATGTCACGAGGCACCATGTAAGTCCCGCCGCTCAAATCTCAAGGGGCGGAATTGCATCCATGTAGAAAACGCCGATGTATGCCCCTCTCCCCGCCCCGCCAACGCAAGCCATCCCCCATTTCAAATACACCACGGACTAGCTCCGACCTGGGAGCTAGTGATTTATACATTATCATCCTCGTAGACAAAGTTGATGTCACGGATGCGACGGCGGTTGGTTGCGATGAACTCTTGGTCACCGGCGGGGCGCTCGTTGCGATTGTTGGCGGTAAGCATGCTCTGAAGACTCATGCAGACGCTCTCGACTGTCTGCACTGGGGACCAACCCGCGGAGCCCAGGAGGTCAAGGCAGATAATGCCGTTGCTGTAGATGTGGGGATGCATGGGGATTGTGCGGGGTGTGCCAGTCGAGGCAGGACATTGGATGAATTGGACCTCCGGGGGCTCTAAAATGATTGTGTCAAAACCCAGAATGAAGGAATGGAATGAAGCCAATAAGAAAAAACAAAAAGAGCTGCTGAGAAGTTAGGGCTTACCAATAGGATACTTGTTACTGAAGGTAAACTTCAGGCGATAAGTCTGGTTCAGATAAAGTGGGTTATCGTCGAGGATCTTGATGTCCATCTGCCATTCCTCAAGATTGTCACATTTGACGATTGTGATTCCCGGTGGGACATGCTCTTGCATCTGGAAATTCAAAGGTTAGAGAAACATGTTTATAGAATGAACAATATGCATGGGTGCGGTATGCTCTCAAAGTATGTGGGACAAAGGCGATAAGCGCGAGAAGAAAACGGAGGAATTGGTACCTTAATGAGCTCCTATAATCCATGAATATAGTCAGTAAGATAGGCATTCTGGTATCTTTCAGATTCAGAGTATATTCACCTTGCTCAGACGCTTTGTAGCGAACATGGTTGCGATGTGGTACTGATAGAAAAGATTTAGATGTTTGAGCTCTGGTGGAGAAGGAGGGGCGGTGTCTCGATTAGTGGAGCCGATGTATGACGTTGAGGACGGCAATGCGAGGAACTTCTCAACAAGGATGAGAATAAACTGAAAGGATATAAGATAGTTCAAAGAGAAAAGATATTGTCAAAAGATCTTAAATGAGGGTCTAAAGCTAGCTTTGGAAGTGGGGAGATTATGTACCAATACACGTGATATCGGCGCCTGACTCTATATTGCACATGGTTACTTACTTTTATACTTGGATTCTATGTTGTTCATGTAGACATTTCAATTTGTAAATAAGGACTGTCGTCGAGGTTGACACTGTGAAACTTTCCAAGGATCACCCCGCCAAAAAGATCTCAAACTGAGTATGCGGCTCCGGTCAAACCACACAGTGGTCACATACATATGTCTAGTCAGGCAGCAACGTAATTACTGAGCACTATGCATCAGCGAATAAGAATAGTCGCTTATGCGGCAATTTGAGATGCCTTAGATGTTCCCCCCTTTAGTGGGGTTTACCTAGCTTGAAAGAAGAATTACTAGAAGCAACATCTAGAATAAAGTGAAAGAATGTTGTATGTAAAACGTCATATTAACATATGAATATGAGCAATCTCCAAATTTTTGACAAGTTTTTTTTGCCTCTATAATTAGTTAACCAGTATGTAGATAGTATTTAGCTTCCATTTATACACATCAATTGATGTAATGAGATGAGCCATTAGACTTTGGAAATTTCCGCGACTGTATGTAAAATCCAAAGCTCGAAAGTTGTATGTTCACTCTGATTGACTATCGAAAATGGGAATCACAGAATTATATCCAAGAAACCGCCAGGCAGATAAAAGAGAAAAATAATAGGGGAGGCTAGGCCTATGAACAAGATATGAACAAGACGTAAGATGTAAAAGAAACACAAAGGAAGATGGTAAACAATTTACGCAGAAGCAGCCTTTTCGCGAGCTTCACGTTCAACTCTCTCTCGCTCCTCTGTCTCCTTCTGCTCACGAACCTTGGCCAGAACGACCTCACGGAAGATAGCACCGCGCGCAGCGCTAGCAATACTCTTCTTCTTTGCATGACCAGAGGCAGGAGTGGCATCACCGTTTGATGTCGATGATTCCGCCACACTTGACTCTTCGGATGAGCCACCCATGTCCATGGGGCTGGGGATGTCCTCTCCATCCTCTTCCTCGTGCATCTTGAGCGACTCGATACGGTTGGCGAGCTTGACGATCTCGATTCCACGGCGGAGACGGGCACGCGCAATGTAGGTGCGGATTTCAGGCAGCAAGTCACGGTCGCTCGCAGTCTCTCCAGTCAGCCATTCGTGCTTGAGGGCTTCTTCAGAGGTAACTCGCTTGGAGGGGTCCGCATTCAGGAGAGTGAGAATGAAATCTTTGGCATCCTGGGAAACGTCGCGCCAGTACCGCTCATGGAAAATGATACGGCCTGTTCGGCATTCTTCGATGAGGTCGGTCAAATTCTCGGATCGGAAGGGGGAGTAGCCACACAGGAGGGTATATGTGATGACACCGAGCGACCACATATCGACGGCCTTGCCGTGGCCCTGCTTGAGCATGACCTCGGGAGCAGCATATCCAAAGGAGCCCGCCATGCTAGTCAGTACCTCAGAGGGGTCGTGCAGCATCTTCGCGATACCGAAATCTGCCAAGACCAATTGAGAGTCGGCGGAGCGGGTGAGGTAGAGGAGGTTCTCGGGTTTCAAGTCTTTGTAAAGGTTAGTTACACGTAAAGCGCTAGTTTGACTTAAGGAGACTGACCTCGGTGAACGATGTTGCGCTTGTGCAGATAGTTGACGGCATCAAGAACCTGGCGAATGGTCTGCGACGCATCCTTCTCGGTAAACTTGCCGTACTCGCAAATCCGGTCAAACAGCTCGCCACCAGTGGCTAGTTGTGTAACGATGTAGAATTTGTCCTAGGCCGACGATTAGAGCGCTGCAACAATCGGAACAGACAGAGATGTTCTCACCTTAGATTCGAACCAGTCGACAAACGAGACAATGTGGGGATGTTGGAGAGATTGCAGCATCTCAAGCTCGTCGTGGACCATGCCCTCGTTACCCCGGACATTTTTCTTGAGAATTATCTTGATCGCGACCTTCTTTCCATCGGCGTCATCTGCCTCGCGAACAATTCCGTATGTGCCTGCACCGAGCGTCCGTCCGAACTTGTAGAGAGCCCTGTAGCCAGCGAAAAACAGGTCAGCGAATGTGGGGTAAGAAGGTTACGATAAGGAGGCTGTACTTCTTTTCGTAGCTCTCCGGCTGCCCGGACAGCTTATTGAGCATGTTTGCGACTGGAAGACTGAAAGTTAGTAAATTGCGGGGCTTATCTGATGAAATGCGCAAAACAAATGAAGCAAAAGAGTCCTGGAGGAGCCGACCGAGCGGGGAAAACATAGGCATTGTGAAGCAGACCGTGACACAAAATGACAGCTAAAAGTCCTCCTAGCCCCCATATATTCCACAGAGAGCTCATAGGGAGCGTGTAAACCGACATGGCAATCCCAAGGCAGTGAAGAGTCAGATTGTGGACGAGGCTGACACGAGGTCGGACAATATTCAGCTAACACCAGATGACGAATCATAGCAAGATTGAACAGGAACAAAAGTCCCACGGATATAAAACATCGACTCACAACTCATGATGTGGAGATAGGGCTGCAGATGCCCAAGGTGGTAGATGCGGTATGCGGTATGCGATGGGCTCGAATAGGCACAGAACGCGTTAGGTAGCAAAAGTAGAACGAAGAAGAGGGTTGAGGATTCGGAGATTGAGGCTTTTAAGGTCGAAAATGGAGTCCAATCTAAAAGCGAAAATGGTCAGTGATATAGAAAATATAGAAATGCCCAAATTCGAGGGGTGAGCGAGCATGCGCGGGGGTGGCTGCATGGAGGATCCAAACAGAGTAGACGTACCACATATACGAACAACACGTATCTAGATCGCAATTCAATCTCAAGTCAACTTGAGAAGACGAATTTCGAAAAAAAAGTACAAAAAAAAAACACAGCTGAAGAGGGAAAGGATCAGGAGTTCTAGACGCGATAAGACTGTAGGGTTTAGCGCCAGCACAGCCACAACGAGAATGTTACTGCCTCCAGGGCTGACTATGTACTTTGTACATTAGGCGCCAAGAGAGGGTCTGCCCATCAACACATAATCGTGCCAAGCACCCAACACCTTTACTGTCAACGATCATCTTCGGTCAATGATCAATGTTCAAAATTAGGTATCTTTTGTATAGGCATGTCATACAAAAGGTACAAAGAGTTCAAAAATCAAAAATTCTATTTTTCTCAACCTGTGACATAGATTATAGGTCTATATATATTATCTGGAGGAATTTTAGCTAATTTGGTACTAATATTCACCATAAATATTGAGTATAATAAAGTAAACATTCAAGTTCTACGGAGTACATACAATCTTTATTTATGGTGTCTTTTTAATGTGCTTCTCGCACTTCTACATTATTTCAAATTAATCTTAGTATTAGAACAACCTATTCATAGTTATATCATATACCATTTACCACTCTTCGTTATTTTTAACTAGTTCGAGGGTTGCGTAAAATGCAAGTTGTGAATTTGAAAACTTTTGTACCTTTTGTATGACATGCCCATACAAAATATACCTAATTTTGAACTTTTATCGCTGAAAGTAAAGGTGTGTTAGGCCCTTGGCACGATTACCTAGGCAAGTCAATTAAATATTGAAAAAAGGAGACATTATTATTGAAAAGAAAGAAGCGAATTTGTAAAAGTCAATACTAGGTCTAATTATGTGCTGCTTTGATAGAGCAAAGTCAGGTACGTCTCTAACAATGTACAATACATGTACAAAATATGTAGGTACTATGCAAGAATCCACAGCCATTTTATATTTTCTGGTGAACTTTAAAGATGTACCTTCTTTTTCTAGTTAAAGGCACAAACAAGTTTCAGTAGCCGTGGTTAATCTATTTAGAGCTGTAACATCACATCTTGACGCTACATCAGACAATCAAAGCCGAGAAAAGAATAACAGCGTAATTTGAAACACGCCCATGAAAACCTTGGAATTAATATAAAGTGGCCTTTCCATGATTGGCAAACATCCCGACCCCACTGCCTTCTGTGGCACAGCGTCGTCACCAGACGTCATAGGCTTAACCAGAGAGGTATATGAACAACAACAATCACGAAATATTTTTGGCTTCTTATTCTGTTAGAATTCAAATCTGCTATCACACTATTTTCAAGAAACTGAACATTCAATCATGATATCCTTCCTCTTTTTCCTTACCTTCCAGGTAATTCTACTCGGCGCTTGGGTCGCTGGTTACCTAGACCCATACCAGAAGCAACTTCAAGAGCTTTTGCTGGACTATATGGGCGAGACAAAGGTGTCTTATGGACTGAAGAGTATGTTATCTTAAATAGAGAAAGAGGAAAAGAAACGAAATATACTAACCAGAATTTACTTACAGAAAGTCTGACTGGCAAGAAACTCACCGAGGACCAGAATCTAAGCAAGATTCAAGATCAACTCGGAAATCAATTGGGAGGCATGTTCGGGAAGGGAGGTCTGGGAGAGGGATTTGGCTCTGTATTGAGTAAAGGTCTTTGAGGAGTTGGCTGTTAGCACGAAGGACACGAATAGCAAGATTGACTTTTGATTGTTGAAATTAAGATTAAGGTTAAGATTAAGAAACAAATCCAACCCTAGGTAGATATGTTTCCATGCAACCTTCATGCAACCTGCAATACACAAGAGATCATCGATATCGTGATCTTTTGTACCAACCAAGTGAACGAAGCTACAATAGTGCTTTCCTTAAGTATGCCTGATGGCATACTGAAACTCCACCAAACCACCTCGAACTGCAACTAATATGACCAAACATAGACCATGATAATAGCCATGATCTAACTTGTCAAGAAACGAGGCAGATTGAGTAATGCAATACTCATCGAGCGTGTTGAGTCGAAAGGCTACAATGTCATGCAACTGCATTGACACTTGCACGACGCCCAACCACCGAAAAACAAAGGAACAAAAAGCAGAAAAGAAACAAAGAAAAGAAATCGATCAAAAGAAACCAGCAAGAGAATGAGCAGTAAGATCTCACCGCTTCAGCCATTCACTAGATCCATAACCAGTCTCACCAAGCTCAGCCAAAGCAGTTTCGCAAAGCTTGTCGTAGTACTCAGTCCCCTTCCAGAGACTATGCTTCGACCGGATACCAATCCTCCAATCCTCTGCCCTAAGTCGCTTAATACGCTGCGCCTTAGTCTCAACTCGGATAACATTTCCATACTCATCGATATTAGGTCCCTCGATCACAGGAGGCTCTTGTGATGCACCGGGGCTAGACTTAACGGGAGAAAAGGTCCAGAAGGAGGCAGAACGGACCATAGTAGTATTGCGAGAGCGACGGGCCTGCTGCAGGTCTGAAACATGCTTGATCTGCTTGCGGAGCCCGGTCACGTCGGCGGGAATGTGCTCACGGAGCCACTTGACAGCGCCGTTGAACGAATTGATCTGGGCTTGGCGCTCGGCGCTGACAGGTGCAGGGGATGGCTTTGTCGACCGTGACGGGAGCGATTTGGTGCTTGTATTCTTTTGTGAGCCTGCATGGCTGTTGAACGGCGACCCGAGGACAGGGACTTTCTTTCTCGGAACGGGGGTGGGCGTCGGTGGAGCCATAGGCATGGGCATGGGCGAAGGGAAGACGGGGCTTAGGAGACGTTTTGGCTGCGACGCTAGGACTGTAGGGCTCGTCTTCTCTGTGTTAGCATTCAGACGTCCAGATGGGATTATCTTCAAGGGTAGCCGTGGAGGGCGAGCTCGGATGGATCGATTCACCTCGCTCCTAGCTACTTCTTGCTCTGAACCTCCACAGATTACCATTGGAGAACTGGTGCACATGAACACCTCGCCGGAGCTCTTCCGGATTGCAAGAGGGGATGGAATTAGCTCGCTGCGCTTTGCTGGATCCTCAAATTCGGCTGGGATCTTGATCGGAGACAGACGCACGGGTGGCTTCTTCATAGCGTGAAAGTTTGCCGGCGCGCGGCTCACAAAAGGGTCGTCGGCTCCCGCGATAATAGAGTTATCAATCATCCGGGCAATGTTTCGAACGATAGATCCCCCGTTAGGAAGCCCATCTCTGGCGCTATTAAAAGAGACCAATTGGTATCTGGCGGTCTGGCGAGGAGAAGCATCGCATGGTGGAGGAGGGGGCTCACGGGTCGGAGGCGGGATATGAAAAGCCGGGGGAGGAGCACTATAGTCAAAACGCGAGACTCCTCGAGAAGCTGGAGGTGGCGTGACACAAAAAGCAGTCGTAATAGACGAGTGGGAGGAAGAAGAGGGAGAAGGGACAGGTGGGGGAGGAGTGTGAACCAGCCTAGCATTATGGGCCGACAGGTTCTCAACCGACAGAGCATCAGCATTTGAATCAGGGCCAGGACCAGCAATGACACCACGATCTGGCAAAGGGGGGCTCCACACTACAGTAGTCATGGAAGACCGAGGAGACGAGTCGGGCGAATGAAGAAAAGTAACTGGCGAGTAGGTCTGGTTGGGATTCGGAACTGGGGACGGGATCATAGCTGGCAAAGACTCATAAGCAGTCTGAAACCGCTCCATAGCAGAAGTCAGAAGCGGGACTTTGACAGCCGAAAAGATGTGGGCTGCTCGTCCCATGTACTCATATGAGGTGGCTGCATAATAGTGGAGGTAGGTTGCACGGATCGGATGAAGCTATGTATAAACCCGTTAGCAGTTAGATTTTGAGATGAGATCTGTGAAACACAAACCGGACTAGACGCAGTGTCTATGAGTTGATTGCAACGTAAGGCACATTGTTTGTATTGCTGGTTGAAACATAGCCATTTCACATCGAGAAGGGCTCTCTTCCACTCGTAGTGATCTTGTGGAGGAGAGAAGACACCAACGGACAACGAGCCCTCTGATGGTATCTCTGAGGTATTTGAAGAAGAGCGGGAAGCCATCTTGGCAGCCGATGAGACGCGTGAATGAATGAGGAAGAAGAGATGAAACACGAGATAGGACGAGAAGGAAGAAGAGACGAAAGACCATACTCTCAGCCTCGTCCCCAAGTTGAGATCTGGACACTCGAAGTGCCAACCCAGAGCTTGCCAGGGTAGCCCAGAGCCCATGCTTTTACCTTGCTCAGTCTCAAAGTGGCAGGCATAGCTCCATGTATTTTCAGAGGCGTCAAAGAAAGTTCATATTTGCCTCTAGCAGCCACAAATCAGTACCTACACCATCATTCTTCTTAGAGATCTACACAGTGAACATAACTGTGTGAGAACTGAACTTAATATTAATTACTGGAATTGTAGATACTTGAACATCAGTGATTCCACATATCTGGGCTTCCTTGAGTGGCTTCTGGCTAAGGATATTTGCCAGTAATAATATCCCACAAGCCCATACTAGCCATCTAAACCTGCTCAACAATCAGGGCGCCACTTGTCTTATGCTTGATCTGGGCCCGTGACAATGCCTCACCAGTTGCCGAAAGCGACACCATGAAATCACTCAGCAAACGGTCAAGTTCTGCTGTCACCACACCATCATCCATACCCTCCATCAGACTCGCCGCATTTGGGGGATTGAGAGCCGGGAAGGAGATTGGTCCCTTGTCTTCTGTCTGTGGCATGGGGGCTTCAGATACGTCGTGTCGTGCATTTCGTACAGTTTCGAATACGGGAGATCCCGGTTCTGAGACCGGGCCCGAGGTCACCGAGGAAGCAGTGGGAGTTTGGGGAATTGGAACGGCCGTGGGTAAAGCTGTCATACTATCTTCAAACGAGGAACTCCCGGAGTGCGCCCTCCATGGAGAGTGAGATTCTTCGTCCGGCCCGGGGCCATCGAGGAGCCCAGAAGCCTCATATTCATTATAACCAGCTAATTCCATCATCGCGGGTAGTTCTGTGTCGAAGAAATGACTGTGATGAAGCGAGTTTGTGCCCTCTGGTGTGGTAGGGCGATCGAAGCGGAAGGGGTCGTAATCTGAGTCGGAGGCATTCGATGCCGAAGTCGAAGGACGTGAATCGCCTGGTTCATCTGTTGAGGATGGCTGCTGCGACTGCGGTGGAGGCTGAACCTCAGGCAGTGGAGCTCGGAGAGTGTCATGCCGGTCATCATAGACTTGGCTCTCGGGTACGGATCCCATGACTGGGAATGTCCACTGCATGGTGGCTCGCTTCTCAGCCTGAAAGGACTCATCTGTCCTGGGCTCCTGTGCAGGAACCTCTTCTTTTTCTTCTGGTTGTTCCTCTTCATCTTGTACAAATGACGGGAATTTCCAGTCCATGGTGGGAGGTCGAGGACCAGACGGTACGAATGTATCTTCGAGCTTTTGATCGTCATCCACGCTGTTGATAGACGACTTTGAGCTACTCTCAGAGGAGCTCCTGTTCAAGCGAAGACTGGAACGGTTCGCGCGGATAGTATTTGCATCGACCAATTGGAAAGGCTGCGCAGATGGGGCTCCTGCTGCGTAATGTGATGCCTCGAATGATCCGATGTCAATATCAAGAAAAGTCGATGTGACAGAAGAGCGGTCTGTTTCCGCACGAAGGGGAAGATCCGAAGTGGACTGGGCGGGCTCAATGGGGACAAAGTCATTTTTTGTTTCGTATGTATAACTGGGCTTTTCCCCATCAAATAGGCCTTCCATTGCCTCAGCGCCTCGGCGCACACGTTCATCGAAATTGGCCTTATCTTCATAGTTAAGATCGTCCTCCGAAAACTGTTCGTACATCTCCTGCTCAGGTGCTGTGTCGGTAGGACCGATTGATTGCTCCATCTCCGCCAGCGAGGCTGCAATTTCATCCAGATCAATGACAGAGAATCTTCGCTCGAACCCATCTGTTGTACTGAAATTCCAGTCATCCTCTGATTCCTCGATACCTTCTGGGAGCTCAGCTGCCGCGGCGCCGCCTGGGTGGAACAAAGAGATCCGCTGTCCTCCTCGCTGGGACCACTGGTAGTAGTTCCTCACCAACTCACCCACAGAGTCAGTGGGATACTCCTCTTCCGTATTAGCAATATAGGGGTGAGCAAGGATGTCTGCCATCGTGGGGCGAGTGTCTGGATTGGAGTCGAGGGCGTAGGCAATAAGATCCTTCAAGCCTTGGCTGTAATTATCGCTGTCCAGCTGGGGAGTCTTGCGATTAAGCTGGCGACCGATTTGCATTCGTTCTCGCAGGCCTGCGTTTGGCGGGTTTCCGTTCGCGAATTCGAACAATGTGCACCCGTACGCCCACACATCAATTTCACTCCCGTAGCGATGGGCCTCTCCACGAGTTGCAAACATTTCTGGCGGCATCCAGTGTGGCGTTCCAATCCAGGTTGAGCGTTTGTCCCGCTGTGATTGGAGCACACCAGCAACACCGAAGTCACAGATTTCCAGACGACCCTCTTCATGAACAAGGATATTTGCAGCTTTCACATCGCGATGAATGATTCCAGCTTCATGAATAGCATGAAGTCCAACAGCCAGCTCACGAGCGATTGGAATGATGTATTTCTCATCGAGCTTGTCATTTGTTGCGCGCATCAAGGTACGGACACTGCCACCGGGACAGTACTCACAAACCAGCCACAGCTGAGAGTGAATAGAGATGGCTTCAATGATTTCATTGATATTTTTGGCACCAGAATCCTTCACTTGCTTCATCACTTTTGTTTCATGGATGAAATCCTTTATCGACTCATCTCTGAAATCTCGAAGCGACTTGTAGTCCAGTGAGTCAATATCTAGGACTTTGATGGCAACCAAGCGACCGGATGGCATTTGGCGACCCTTGTAAACACGACCATAGGCACCTTTGCCTATCAACTCTTCAAACTCGTATGGTGGAACCTCAGTTTTTGCACGACGACACATCTCCTGGACAGCCACCGCTTGTTCACGAGCTAGCTTGATGGCTTCTGCTTTATGCTTGGTGATGGCCGCCATTGCAGAGGATGGGTCCAAGAGGCGGGATGTTCGAGAATCCATTGCGAGTGAAGATAAGCTTGGAGTGAACCAGGTGTGAGATAAGAATGAGATAAATGTAAGAGTGAGTAAAGAGTGAAGATGGAAATAGGAGTAAAGATGAAGATAAAAATGTGAACTGAGTGAGACAAGTTTGAAATGGATGTAAAGATATGGGGCTCTATGGCGTGAGTTAACGATGGAATGCGGATGGAGTGCGTTTGCGGGGTTGACAAAGCAGATGTTTGAGCTTTTTAACAAAACGCTTTAAGACTCCCTTGCCCTTTAGTGTGCTCCTTTTTCCCGAGGCGAAAGAGGTTGTCGAGGGACCAGAAGAGATACGGAGAGGCGTCTTTTGGTAATATCGAGGGGTAGCTGTTGGTTTAGGCCGCCCTTGGAAGATATTGTTGAAGGAGGAGCGCTGCCTTCTGATTACGTAGCTGATTGGACGCGCTCGTGAGGGGTATTCAGGGAAAATGGTGTACCTATTTCCGCGCTCCTGGGCTTGGTGGGAGCCTTCAGGCTTCACTTGCCGTCTCTCGTGATAGTCAATGGGGAGACGTAACTCCCTGGGAGAGGTGCTAGGAGAGTTGCTGGGAGACAAGGGAGACGGGGGAGGGATCCGAAAGGAAACGTTTCGAGTGTTGATGACAGGTGAAGTGCCGATAGAGGACGGTGGGGAAATCCTAGAAGAACTAGTCGAGCTATTTCCTAGCCCACTGGTGTCGAGTGCAGATGTATCAGTTTTGGCACAAATGCTGGAAAATTTTTGCTCTCCGACCGGGCCACAGTCCCCCAAATCTTCAGAGAACTGGGAAATTCGAGGTAGGCTGGTCACAGATTTGATTTGACTACTGGCAAGTGTCGAGGTATTAGCTTGGGCACTGTCTTTCGGTGGCACTCGTTCGTAATCAGAATAAACGTGAGAAAGACGTTGATTTCCGACCGCTTGATTTCGACTGGGAGGACTTGGGAATGATTGAAGTAATTGCTCCAGGCTCCCAGGGTTATTCAAAGTCCTCAAGTCCTGGGATGTTTTGCGATTGCCTTGGGTTCCAGGGATCTCGCCGGGGGTAACAAAAGAGTCGGGCGGCTCACCTATTTCACTGTTATAGACTGATGGGCTTGGAGGTGCAATGGCTCCCGGGCTTGCAACGTTTTCTGATGCCTTAGAGTGCACGGGAAGCTCGGGGGACCCAAGGTAGGGATTCTCGTCGTCCAATACACGCTGTTGGAGGATCTCAAACAGAGATTCTGAATCAATACCGAGGAGAGAAGTCCACTCTTCTTCGTAGTGAGCCAGGTCTCTGCCTTCTAGGCCTTCGCGAAAGCTACTGGGACGATGCTGGCTTGGTGGTAGACAAAGCTGATTGGGGCGTTCACTGCGAGGCTTGTAGGTTAGTCACTGAAATTTACCCACTCAGCGAAGGGATGTCTTGCCAGAGCCTAGTAGATGCAGTTCTGTGAGCAATACTGGTAGAGCTGAGTCGACCAGATGGATTTTGGCTGTAACTGGCCTCTAGATCTGTACTAGGAAGCCCAGCAAATGGGTCGGATGAGCCGTAAAGACGAAGCAAGAATTGGTGGTCGGTGGAGAAAAACCCGAGCTCCTCGATGAGATTATCGACACTGGGAGATTCGTCAGCCATTCTGGTTCAGAATTACATTGGCATATCAATCGAGCCCAGGTGTCAATTTGATGATGGGAGAAGGGTAGAGGGGATGAAAGCAATCGTGTCGCGCCGTCCATTTGGAACCTACCTAGTCGCTTAGTTAATCGAAAGACGAGCCACCACCTGGGAAATCTGAAAATCTATAAAATCGAGTACACACGCCGAGTCTCTCCATTTGCCCTTCCAATATGGAACGCTTCGTAAGGGCAAACAGGCCTTAACGGTGAGCTAGAGCAGAGGCGAGTGTTTCATATCCCATGCCCTGATTCACGCACAGCTTTCCATCCATAAAGTACAAGACATGAGGCGTGTGGATATATTGAAGAACAGGGCGATGAAGATAGGCTCCAAGATGTCGTTGGCAATATTGTGGCACGTGATATTCACTGTCTTATCGTGATCTTGAAGAGCTGACCGCTTTGCCTTGCTATTCCTTGGAAGGTTCCATGGGATTTAGAATAGAGCTCTTCTGGCCACCATTAGTAAAGACCTTCAGAGGAACCCACCATGTCTAGAATTTTGGGCTATTGCAAAGGATAGTAGTGATGGCTGGTGTAGATGACTTCCCATTCACTAGACAAGTATGTACTATGTATTTGATGATTCCCAGCGTTAATACAGCGCTGGGAAATCAGATCTTATCGCTTATCGTGGTATATGAGCTTATCGCTTGCTTTCTTTTTATTCTTTTTTGCTCTGTGGATGCTCCTGCATACGTACATACACGTACGGGGTATATTTATAGTTATTAACCTAAACTCAAGTGAAGAAGTGATTGATCTAGGGACCTTATAGATACGGTTGGCTACCATATGTTGTTGTTGTGATATCCTAAATCATCGCATGTGCCACAAGGTACATAATTGTATACAATAGGAGATGCAACAAACATGTTTATGGGTATGACTAGGAAAACGCTTCGGAACAACACTCAGGGGAACTAAGGCAACAAAAGCCCAGCCAGACACTTTGGAACCAACGGAAAAAATGGTGTTCGTGGGCAGGGGACGGGTCGCAAGACTAGGACTCCAACGCCCCAACCCAAGCAAAAGGGTATATGAGGAAGAATAGGAAATGGAGTCAGAAGAGATACTAAAGCTAAATGACTCGAAGGTAGAGTTCATTAACTAGGCCAACCCCCCAGCTAAGTGGCGGGAATGTATATAGAACGCGTAAAATCGCAAAATCGAAGCATGCCCAGTTTTTATATACTATGGGTGATTGTGGAAGCATAAAATGAGCTTTTATGGCCTATCAGGCAGAAGTTGGTTTCCAACTTCCTATGGTACAGATATAGAAGGTATAAGTTGTTTAGATTAGCCAGCCACGCAAAAATAGGATCGATACTCCGTGACTAGTTAACTAGTCAACTAACGTATTCCACTACCGAGTGGGCCACCTATCCAAAACGCGTCAATTAATTTAACCCCTTCTTCTTCAACCACCCACTATACCACCAATTCGCTCTCAACGCTCTAGAAATTTAATAGAGCAAGAGGGTAGGATCTTACTAGCTATCCAGGCTTTTAAGAATCAAGAAATCTCTTCAATTCGTGAAGTGGCGCGCCGTTTCGAAGTCCCCCGCTCTACCTTACAACGCCGCCTCGCTGGTGATACCTTTCGTCCTGAAACACGCGCTAATAGTTATATATTAACAGAACTCGAGGAGGAATCTCTTCAAAAATGGATACTCTCTATAGATTCTCGTGGAGGGGCCCCCCGGCACTCTATAGTACGAGAAATAGCGGATCTTCTTCTTCAAAAGCGTAGAACTACCCCGGTTCCTTCGGTCGGCGAAAACTGGGTTACGAAATTCGTACAACGGTATCCTCTCCTCTCCTCCCGATTCTTAAAACGGTATAACTACGAGTGTGCGAAATACGAAGACCCAAAAATCATTCAAGGGTGGTTTAATCTGGTTCAAAAGACAATCCTTCAATTTGGAATCGATCCCGACGATATCTATAACTTCGATAAGACTGGTTTCGCTATAGGAGTGATTTCAACTATAAAGGTTATTACGAGAAGTGATTTACCTAGTCGAAGAGGAGTTTTATAACCTAGAAATCGTGAATAGGTGACTACAATTAAGTGTACGAATGCTTCGGGTTAGGCCCTCCCTCTGTGTGTGATTTTTAAAGGCAAAGTCTTTCTTGAATTATAGTTCGAAGGCCTTCCGGAGAACTAGCGTTTCGAAGTAAGCCCTAACGGCTAGACCTCTGATAAAATTGGACTCCGTTGGCTAGAAAAGCTCTTTATTCCTAGTACTTCTTCGCGTACGAAGGGGGGGTATCGGCTTCTAGTACTTAACGGCCACGGAAGTTATTTAACGCCTAAATTTAACGAAATTTGTGAGCAAAATAAGGTAATACCAATCTGTATACCAGCATATTTATCTTATCTTTTACAACCTCTAGATATTGGCTGTTTTGCGGTATTAAAACGATCGTACGGTCGGATAGTTAAAACCAAAATACGGAACGGGATCAACTATATCGATAAGCTTGACTTCCTCGAAGTATACCCCCTCGCACGAATTGAAGCCTTCAAATCGGAGACTATTAAAAATAGCTTCGGAGCAGCCGGTTTAGTCCCCTTTTTACCGGAGAGAGTGATTTCAAAGCTCAATATTCGGCTTCGAACTCTAACCCCCCCAGCTAGCCGGGGTAGTGAATCAAGCCGGAATTTTACACCAAAAACCCCTTTTACAGAGAAAGATCTACGTCGTCAGGCTTTATCAATCAAAGCTTTACTTCTTACAAGATCTCGAAGCCCGCTTAGCCCGTCAGATCGTGTATTAAACCAGCTTATAAAAGGCTTCTGTCTTACAATACAAGGTGCTATCTTACAATGCAAGGTACTATCTTACTCGCCAAAGAAAACAAGGAATTACGCGCCGCCAACGAGAAGCAGAAGCAAAAGCGTACTCGATCTCGAAGGCAGATACCCGCCGAAGAAGGCCTTTCAGTTCAAGAAGCCTCTGCATTAATTATACAGCAACAGGAAGCAACTGAAGCACCTCTCCCCGGCCCCGGCATACCTAGAGAATCGGCTATTCAGCCACGTACGCGGCCCCCCCGGGGGTGTGGAATATATAGATTGCCAGGGTATAGAAGAGAAACATGTCCAGATAGACCACTTAGTTAGTTCAATTAATTTAATGGCGTTATGGTTGAGATAAATGTATTTAAAATTGGTAGGTTAGATGGGGTGGCCCACTCGGTAGTGGAATACGTTAGTTAGTTAACTAACGTATTTCACCACCGAGTGGCCACAACCACCGAGTGGCCACCCTACCCAAAACGCGTTAATTAATTTAATCCCTTCTTCTTCAACCACCCACTATACCACCAATTCGCTCTCAAAGCTCGAAAAATTCAATTGAGCAAGAGGGTAGGCTTTTATTAGCTATCCAGGCTTTTAAAAATGGAGATATCAGTAATATTACTCTCGCTGCTCGCACTTTCAATGTGCCGCGTTCAACTCTCCGCCGCCGCCTTAGCGGCGTCAAGACCGCGCGACTTCTCGCGCTAATTCGCATAAATTGACAGAACTTGAAGAGGAATCTCTTGAAAAATGGATTATCTCTATAGATTCTCGTGGAGCAGCCCCCGGCCCTCTTCCGTACGAGAAATGGCGGATCTTCTTCTTCAACAACGTAGAACTACCCCGGTTCTTTCGGTCGGCGAAAATTGGGTTACGAAATTCGTGAAACGACATCCTCTCCTCTCCTCCCGATTCTCGAAACGGTATAATTACGAGCGTGCGAAATACGAAGACCCTAAAATCATTGGGGAGTGGTTTAATCTAGTTCAAAAGACGATCCTTCAATTTAGAATCGACCCCGATAACGTTTATAACTTTGACGAGACCGGTTTCGCGTTAGGATTAACCGCGACCGCGAAGGTTATTACGAGAAGTGATATAACCGGTCGGTGTAAGACTTTACAACCTGGAACTCGCGAGTGGGTGACAGTAATTGAATGTACGGGTGCTTCTGGCTGGGTGCTTCCTCCGTGTGTGATTTTTAAAGGCAAAGTCTTCCTCGAATCTTGGTTTAAAAGCGTCCCGAATGACTGGCGCTTTGAAGTAAGCCCTAACGGTTAGACTTCGGATGAAATTGGACTTCGTTGGCTCGAAAAGCTCTTTATTCCTTCGACTTCTTCGCGTACGAAGGGGAGGTATCGGCTTCTAGTACTCGACGGTTACGGAAGCCATTTAACACCGAAGTTCGACGAAATCTGCGAACAAAATAGTATTATACCAATTTGTATACCTCCGCATTCCTCTTACCTTTTACAACCTCTCGATATCGGCTGTTTTGCGGTACTAAAACGTGCGTACAGTCGGTTTGTTGAATTTAAAATGCGGAGTGGGATAAATCATATCGATAAACTTGACTTCCTCGAAGCATACCCACTTATACGAATTGAAGCTTTTAAATCAGAGACTATTAAAAATAGCTTCGGAGCAGCTGGTTTAATACCTTTTGTACCCGATCGAGTGATTTCAAAGCTTAATATTCGTCTTCGAACCCCGACCCCCCCTCCGAGCCGGGGTAGTGATTGGGACCCAAAAACCCCTTCGAACTACGTCTAATTACAAAAACAAGCTTCGTCAATTAAAGCATTGCTTCGTATAAGATCAAGGAGCCCTCCAAGTCCTCTCAATTCCGCTATAAACCAGGTTTTAAAGGCGTGCCAGATCACTATACAATCCGCCGCACTTCTTGAGAAAGAAGTAAGCGATTTACGCGCCGCCAACGAGAAGCAGAAGCAAAAGCGCACTCGATCCCGAAGGTAGATACCCGCCGAAGAAGGCCTCTCAGTTCAAGAAGCATCTGCATTAATTATGCAGCAACTGGAAGCAACTGAAGCACCTTCCCCCGCCGCCGGCATACCTAGAGAATCGGGTTTACAACCACGTACAAAGCCCCCCCGGGGATATGGAATATGCAGATTGCCAGGGCATAGAAGAGAAATATGTCCAGATAGACCAATTAGTTAGTTGAATTAATTTAATGGAGTTTTGGTTGAGAAAAATGCATTTAAATTTAATATGTAGGGTTGGGGTGGCCACTCGGTGGTTATGGCCACTCGGTGGTGAAATACGTTAGTTAGTTAACTACAACCAACCTACTGACTAATTCGTCGCAGCTAGCTCGTTAACTTTCTTCGGTGCTATAATATGTGTATAGTCAAAGGCGAAATAAATTTTTTTTTTTTTTGGCAGACTATTGGAGTCCGATAATGAGGTGATATTGGAGAAAGGCGTCAACTTCATTGGTGATAGGCGCATGATGTGGATTATACTTCCTAGAAGGCTACTCCAATCATAAATTTATTTAGAAGAAATGGAATGCAAGTCAATAAACTTGACGACTAACCTTGCTGCCGATCAGGGGGGTTCAATCGGAGTTGCTCCCAGCTTGTCTCTGTGGGTCTTGTAAGATGTAAGGGGTTGAAAGCAAAACGACGCATTGACTGACACAAGATATTGTTTAATATAAACACTACAGCCAATGCGCCCCATGGTGAGCGAGTCACTATCCATAACAAAGAGAGGCCGGGAAAGTGTCGTGAGATGATGCAGGGGATATTCTGACAAATGCATGGCAAGTCCTACAAACGGACCTGTGAGGCCGATAGATAATTGGCTTTTATAGGACAATCAATCATACATACCTCGGGAGGCAACCTTGGAGAGTTAGGTGGTTTTATATAGTTCGTCGCAAAAATTAGTTTTCTGCATCCCGACGAAATGAATACCCAATAGAGACTCGGGCTTACATTCTGCTTATGGTGTCACATGTGACAATATCAGCTAGCATGCTTCCAAATATCAGAATGGGAAAATATAGCCATAATAGATAGATTGATACATCCGATTTATCCGACTATATATATATTTCTCACTGAGCACTTAGTGTCTGCAAACCTGTCTATCCCCGCAATATGACATCTGCAATAGAGAAAGCAAGCTTCGAGAAACCTCGGCCGCTACAAGAGTCGATCATATCGATTACAGATCTAGCATTGTCGCCATTGTATAAGCCCGCACCGCGCACTTTCAGCTTGCAGGAATGCACCAGATTGAGTTACCAGAGAGCGAAGGCTTTTAGCCATGCATACGGTATTATTATCATCATTCAATATCGTCGTATCAAGTCTTCCTAACAGCAACAGGCTTGACAATCCAGGATGTGCTACAACTTACCCCCAAGTTCTTCAAGATGCATATGCATGACATAGCTGTGCTTGATGGTGGGGCTTTTACTCTGCTCACCATCCAGTGTAATCTCTTTGTTGGGACAGTGGCCCCGTTTGCTACAAATCGTCCAGAACTTCAGACAATCATGCAGGCTGCTTTGAAATTTGACATTTCGTGAGTTTCACACATGAAAGAGTCATTTCAGGAGAGCTAACTGACCAAAAACCGTATCTAGGGCGCAATTTATGTTGACTGAAGTCAACCATGGATTAGATGCGCGAAACATACAGACGACTGCTACAATTCTGTCGAATGGCGATATTGACCTCCATACCCCGTCTCCAAATGATGCAAAGTAAGTCATTTGCCCTCTCTTTTGCTTGAAAAGAGCTAGAATACAGCCGTTAGAGTCATGCCACCAACTACCCCGAGAAGCGGCATTCCCATAATCGCCGTTGTAATGGCTCGTCTTATAAACGAAGAAAAGGATTGTTGTGGAATTCGACCGTTCCTTGTCCAAATTGGAGATGGGAAAGAAATGTGCAAAGGTGTTATATCCAAGTGAGTTTTGAATGCCCTCGTGTGATCAAGCCAAATCCATAGACTAAGTCATCAAAACAGGGCACTACCTATGCGTGGCGGTACTCGCCCAGTTGACCATGCCCTGACGTACTTTAATCATGTACGCTTACCAAAATCCGCTCTTCTGGGTAAGCTAGAAGAAACAAAACCCGAGCGCGAGGCTTTCTTGTCTACAATCCATCGAGTTGCAGTAGGGACTCTCGCACTCTCCGGAGCTGCCATTCCATGCCTAAAGGTCGCGGTATTTAACGCATATCGCTTCAGCTGCAACAGAATTGTTAGTGGACAAGATGCAAAACCGATGGCAGTAATTGGGTTCCGAACACAGCATCTGCCAATTCTTCATGGTGTGGCTCAATATAGCGTCCTCGAGCCGTTTTTCCTTTCTGCGATCGAAGCTTTTCGGGATAAAGGCATCGATCCACGGGTCCGTCATGGCATCGCTACTGTCTTTAAAGCAGCAGCTCTATCTCACTTCGACAAGAGTATTAAAGCTATAAGTCAGCGATGCGGATGGCATGGGCATTTTGAGCACAAATTCTTCAACTAGAGGTAAGTGCCCAGTTACCTTGTTAAGGTACGAGAAAAAAGTCTTACTGGGAAATTTCAGTTAGAAATCCGTGGCGTATCAACCGCAGAAGGAGATATACGAGTTCTTGCTATTAGTATGTGTCACCATCATATACACTTGGTTCTTTAACAAGATCACAAGTCTAACATCTACAACACAGGACTCGCATCCGAGCTATTGATTGGTCGGTATCAAATGCCGCCGCCAAAGGACCCCAATAGTCCTATCTCTCGGCATGAAACCTCTCTAATTTCTGAAGGGAAAGCTCTCCTCCAGCAATCAGCCAAAGGAATGCATCGAAGCGAACGATTCAACCGTGATATCCTACCGCTTGCTCTCCCATTGGTTGAGGCAATCGGTTATCGAATGGCCTTTGAAGCCGCCAAGGAAGCCAACATTGATTCAAAGTTGCTTGATATGTACGAGATCGGAGTCATTAAGGAAGACCCTGCCTGGTATGCCGAGCAAGGTGGGCTGGATAGAGAGATCCAGCGGGAGATGGAATCTCAAGCGGCAGATGCTCTGCTCCCAGACTTGAAAGATATCATGCGGGATTCAGGGCTGCAGGCTTACAGCAATGCTCCTATGACATCGAAGGGCTTGTGGGATGAATTTGTCGCTGGGTTGGAGACATTCGAGGGGAATGCTACACCCAATTTACTATCCCGGCTTTAGATTCTTTGTGTCTTGAATATATTGAAATTTCATCAATGGATCCAAATCAACAAATTATTATCATCATATGCGCCCAATAAAGTGTTCAAGGCTTTATGGCGAAGAAGGTAAAAGAACATATTGTACATCGAGTCCAATAAACAAAAGAGAGCGCAGACCACAAAGATACAGAGGGAGAGCCTTAAGCCTGCGCCTTCGCCAATGCGGAAGCCGATGGATTTTTTCTCCTCACTATCATCTTCAGCTTCCGTGTCATTAGCATCACCTGAAACATCTTGTTCTGCTGTAGCCCCAGGAACTGCATCCTTGCCAGTCGTGATTTCGAGGATTTCATCTTCGTCAGAGTCCCAGTTCCTCTGCGCTAAAGAGACTTCGTCATTGCCCATATCATAGACCGTATAGATTTGTTGAAGGAAATTTGCCCCAAGCACAACACTGTTTGTGCCTTTGGTCTCAGCTTGCGCGATAATGCCCAAATAGCAGGGATCCTCATCATTGAACACGCTATGTGTCTCTATAAACGGACCGATGTCTAGCCTAAAACTAGCTACTCCGAATTCGAACGTGAGTTTTGTGTTACTAGAAGTTATATTGCATGGGACAGAGGTTCGCCCAACCGTTTGGATCTCAGCGATGCCAACTTGAGAGAAGATCTTCTGTGCGATGGATTCCGGAAAATAGGTATAAGAAAATGCGGAGTTAAGTAGAGCTTGTATCGAAACTCCCTCGGGGAAAATCGGAGTCTCATTGATGGAAAAACTGGTCATGCTGATCCGGAAAGTTTTCCTACCATCGGTAGGATTGTTGATGATGGGAAGTGTGTGGAGTGTGCCTTTGTATTTAGATTTGTTCACACCACCAAAAAGAAGAGTACCTGGTTTCTCATCCTGCGAGTCTTCCGTAGATAGAGGATTTTCCATATACATGCTGAAGGCTGGGGATTTAATGGTCCCAGCATCAACCAATGCTTCAGTAAGGGAGATAAAAGACCAGTTTGTTTCGCCATATCCCAAGCTGATAATGTCTATTCAAGAGATTAGTTAACCACAAATATGAACATATAGATATGTGTGCTTACTCTGGGTGGCATCCACGTTCAAAATCCCGATTTTCATAGACTCCACGGTTGTGTCTCCAATGACAAGAGTATCGCTCACAAATTCTCCAGTAATGTCCAGGGATCGTCTAATCGACTTGCTAACAGTGAAATTGGAGTGTAGATTATTCATGCTAGTAGAAAGGCTTTTGTTATAGCCACCAGAGCCGCTGCATTGTTCATCGCCTAGAATCATAGCACAAACACGCGAAGTCGTTCTAGGCACCCAGCATTCATTGCCGACCGTCTGGAATGCTATTGATGCTCTGCGGCGGGGTGCCTAGGGAAATGTTGGTGTAAAAGATATTTTCCTGAAAAGATAAAGGTTAGTAAATATAAATATCAAGATCAGGGCAAAAAGCCTCATACATCGTTGCCAGTTGAAAGAAGAACTGTATTTTCCCTCTTTGATTGAGTATTAGCAGCATATTTTGCGGCTTGCTTGTGTTTTAATGGCACATTGAACACAGCAGGTGTCTCTCGTTTTTCTAGAGACAAAGCATCTGTAAAAGAAGCGCCCAGTAGGGCCACGAGCCACGACCCACTACGCATGTGGATCGGCAGTTAAGGGTGATATGTCACTCGGTAATGTATAACACATCCTTCTACTCCGTACGGGGATCTTAAAGGATTTTAATTCTTCAGGGGCAAAATTATATATAGCCCAATTGACGCTAAACCTCTAGCTTAGAGCCGAATTGTCACCAAGATCACTCAGCTGAGTCCCGCAATTGGACTCGCTTATTAAATGAGGCTCTTAGCGATTAGGTGGCGCCCGCTACTTTGTAGGTAGTAGTATTCAATTGTCTATTTTGGGGTCCAATTGACAAAGTATTAGCTTGGGATGTCTGTTATGAAGAGACATTACTCGGTATGCAAATCTATGTTATACATATGTAGATTATCACAAGACGATGTTTCGTTTCCATCCTAGGCAAGTTTGATGTTCACCCAAAACGAAGGCAACTTGGCACTTGTGTCTAAGCCAAAATACTCTTGATGGTCCTCTTCACACCCCATGTAGTAGTTTCTAATAGATAGTTCTGGTATTTATTTTTGCTTCCAAGTTCTGGAATATCTGTGGGTATTATCTTGTGCTTAATCTAGATTTGGCTAATAGTATCAAAGAAACTTTGGAAGGTTATGCACAGAAAACCCGTCTGCACAATTTACGTTTCCCCGCCTTGGTATACATCCAATATGATATCTAAAAAGAACATCTAGAAACATATCTGACTGTTCTTGAATATATCATCCTAAAAATATTATTATCTTGGGCCAAATATATCTACGTCGCAAATAGCAGAGGCTACATGAGCGGCAAGCTGTTCTTGTATATATATTTATTCAGAGATAGAACATGGAAACGCCCGAGTTTCCTTTGCCCCTATAGTGCAGGCCATAGTACGGAGTACATCATTGCCTTTACGGTTAGTTAGAGAAAATTGACGTATGCATAGCGCTAAAGTTGTATGATCATTTTAAAGTTGCGAGATTTGGTGACTTTGTATCTACTGCACTATCCCCCTGATGGGTTGCTCCTTGGCTGTATCACACCAAACGGGAATGGCGAGGGAAAGGAGGCCAGGTTACACACTTCACAATTTAAGGAGCTCTATTACAGAATGGATTTGAATACTCATACCATTTGGATAAAAACGAAAAGTTATCAAGCTCATTCCGGGAAAGCACCTTGAAGATGACACCGAGGAGCGCGGCATATTGGTTAAAGTCATGTGTGAGAACAGACAGCTTTGAAAGTACGTAGATAGCGAAGGTGGCCATTAATAGAATTAGATGGGCTGATTCCCGAGGTCATTGGATTCTTCGGTTGGTAAGCTGGCAACCCTGCTCGTAAGCTTGGGTCATTTTCTTTTTCAGTCGTGCTCAGCTTTTGGGACGAAGAAACTAGCAAGCGGGGCGATATACTGTATTTTCTTTTCTCTTTCAGATATCTGAAGGCTTTAATATTGTCATCTAGTTTTTTAAACATCTTTTAAGGTACGCCCATTGAACAGCACGATCCCATATTATATGGTGTGGCTGCCGGGGGCCACCGGAATACTCGGACTGAAAGCCCTGGAGATTGTCCTGGCTTATGGATTGCTTTGAGATCCACTATTTTAGAATCAAGACATATGTACTCAAGTCTTGTTTTCATTGGTTCTGCCTAGACTATATTTTAACAGTTTCTTTTCCCTATAACTAATTATTAATGTAGTTGTAGTAGGTATGCAGCCCTGGAGGTGGGATGATTTGACGGTTTGATGCCTTAGTGCCTTGATGCCTTGATGCCTCCAAATGAGGAGTCGTCTGCCCCCCACTAATGCACGGTGCTGCACGAGTGAGGTGGTAGTGAAACTGATAAAAATTTACTTGAGGCAAATGATATACAATATAGGGGTAAAATTTTTTTTTCTCGATGAGATTTGTTTTTAATCTATGGCGTATGAAAACATACTCATACTAGCTGTATAGCTCTGTGTACCAGACATTGAGCTGTTGAGTGGTATGCCTGAGGCATTTATCGGGATCAGATTTGAATTAGTAATGTACGTTGCCCCACCAAGTTGATAGAGGGGCTTTTTGGGCATGAAAGTCATCATTTACCTTTGTACGGAGTACGGAGTAGTATGGAATATAGGAATCCTTGGAAATGTAAAAGCATAGAATGATTCATAGCTGAATTGACTCTTTTCTGACATGTAAGATCAAAGAAACCTTTTATATATATACATGGAACGTCTCTCGCTTGGGATAGCTGTCAAACGTCACCGGATAACCCACGGATGGCAAAAAAAGTCATTAGTGAGTCAAGACAAAGTATAGATTTGAAATCAAAAAAAAAGGACCAAATGAAAATTCAATAAGATGAAGATGAGCAATTAAAAAAAAAAGAACAGATAATATATAATTCATGTATGAAAAAAAAAAAAAAGGGCTCAGCTCAAAACGCACAAAACCGGGAGGAGAAAAAAAGTCCCCACTTTCGCTTTTCTTTTTTTTCTCCCACTTTTCCTTCCCCTCTCTTCCCTCTTCTCCTTCCCCTCTATCTCTGTCCTCCAGGAGCAGTTGCACATAGAACTTTTTGATTCAGTGATCGAGAATCTCGGTCCTAGTCATCTGTGTGCTCTTCTTCTTTTTTTTTATTTCCTAAGTAATTTACTTCAGGATCAACCGCCAAAATGGTTAAGTAAGTATCAGACTCCCCAGAGAACAGAACATATGGCTAACATTATGTGAACAGCTTCACTATCGAAGAGGTTCGTATCTACCTTTCAAAGCTTCAAAGTTCTATCAAACATTACCAGTGGAAGAAGGGGGATATGAATTCCCTCGATTGCTCTTCCGCCATTCCATCTTCTATCTCCCACTTTCGCTGGTGATGCTTGAAACTTTTTTTTTTGCCTTGAAACAAGTCATCAAATCATCATGAATAACGATACTAACCTACATCAGATCCGGACCTTGATGGACCGTCGGGCTAACATCCGAAACATGTCCGTCATTGCTCACGGTAAGTTCTTAACTGAGGGTCATACGATATAGTGAAATGGCTGATTCTAACCCTTTATGTCTGTGTAGTCGATCACGGAAAGTCCACCCTCTCCGATGCCCTTGTCCAGCGTGCCGGTATTATTTCCGCCGCCAAGGCCGGTGAGGCTCGTTTCATGGACACCCGTCCTGATGAGCAGGATCGTTGCATTACCATCAAGTCCACCGCCATCTCCCTCTACGCCAAGTTCCCCGACCCAGAGGATCTCAAGGAGATTCCCCAGGCCGTCGATGGTGACGAGTTCCTGATCAACTTGATCGATTCCCCCGGTCACGTTGATTTCTCGTCCGAGGTCACTGCTGCTCTCCGTGTCACTGACGGTGCCCTTGTCGTTGTCGACTGTGTCTCCGGTGTCTGTGTCCAGACCGAGACTGTCCTGCGTCAGGCCCTGACCGAGCGTATTAAGCCCGTTCTGATCATCAACAAGGTCGATCGTGCTCTTCTCGAGCTCCAGGTGTCCAAGGAGGATCTGTACCAGTCCTTCTCCCGTACCATTGAGTCCGTCAACGTCATTATCTCCACCTACTTCGACAAGGCTCTCGGTGACGTCCAGGTCTACCCCGACCGCGGTACCATCGCTTTCGGTTCCGGTCTCCACGGCTGGTGCTTCACTGTCCGCCAGTTCGCTATCCGTTACGCCAAGAAGTTCGGTGTTGACCGCAAGAAGATGCTTGAGCGTCTCTGGGGCGACAACTACTTCAACCCCAAGACCAAGAAGTGGACCACCAAGGGTGAGCACGAGGGCAAGACCCTTGAGCGTGCCTTCAACCAGTTCATTTTGGACCCCATCTTCAAGATCTTCGCCGCTGTCAACCACAACAAGCGTGATGAGATCTTCACTCTCCTTGATAAGCTCGAGGTTTCCCTCACCAACGATGAGAAGGAGCTCGAGGGCAAGGCCATCCTCAAGCTCATCATGCGCAAGTTCCTGCCTGCCGCTGATGCCCTTCTGGAGATGATCTGTATCCACCTTCCTTCCCCTGTCACTGCCCAGAAGTACCGTGCCGAGACTCTCTACGAGGGTCCCATGGACGACCGTGCCTGCATTGGTATCCGCGACTGTGACCCCACTGCTCCCCTCATGCTGTACGTCTCCAAGATGGTCCCCACCTCCGATAAGGGTCGTTTCTACGCCTTCGGTCGTGTCTACGCCGGTACCGTCAAGTCCGGTGTCAAGGTCCGCATCCAGGGTCCCAACTACATCCCCGGCCGCAAGGAGGATCTCTTCATCAAGGCTATCCAGCGTACCATTCTCATGATGGGTCGCTTCGTTGAGCCCATTGAGGATGTCCCCGCCGGTAACATTGTCGGTCTGGTCGGTGTCGATCAGTTCCTGCTCAAGTCCGGTACCCTCACCACCGATGAGACTGCCCACAACATGAAGGTCATGAAGTTCTCCGTCTCCCCCGTTGTGCAGCGCTCCGTCGAGGTCAAGAACGCCCAGGATCTCCCCAAGCTTGTCGAGGGTCTTAAGCGTCTCTCCAAGTCCGACCCCTGTGTCCTGACCATGATCAACGAGTCTGGCCAGCACATTGTTGCCGGTGCCGGTGAGCTCCACCTCGAGATTTGTCTTAAGGATCTCGAGGAGGACCACGCTGGTGTTCCTCTCCGTATCTCCGACCCCGTCGTTGCTTACCGTGAGACCGTCGCTGGTACTTCTTCCATGACTGCCCTGTCCAAGTCGCCCAACAAGCACAACCGTCTGTACATGACTGCTCAGCCCATTGAGGAGGAGGTTTCCCTCGCCATTGAGTCTGGCAAGATCAGCCCCCGTGACGATTTCAAGGCTCGTGCCCGTGTCCTTGCTGACGAGTACGGCTGGGATGTCACCGATGCCCGTAAGATTTGGTGCTTCGGTCCCGACACCACCGGTGCCAACTTGCTCGTCGACCAGACCAAGGCCGTCCAGTACCTCAACGAAATCAAGGATTCCGTTGTCTCCGGTTTCCAGTGGGCTACCCGCGAGGGTCCCGTTGCCGAGGAGCCCATGCGTTCCGTCCGCTTCAACATCCTTGATGTTACCCTGCACGCTGATGCCATTCACCGTGGTGGTGGCCAGCTGATCCCCACTGCTCGTCGTGTTCTGTACGCCGCTGCCATGCTGGCTGATCCCGCTCTCCTCGAGCCCATCTTCAACGTCGAGATCCAGGTTCCCGAGCAGGCTATGGGTGGTATCTACGGTGTCCTTACCCGCCGTCGTGGTCACGTCTACACTGAGGAGCAGCGTCCCGGTACTCCTCTGTTCATGGTCAAGGCTTACTTGCCCGTCAACGAGTCCTTCGGTTTCCCCGCCGATCTGCGCTCCGCCACCGGTGGCCAGGCTTTCCCCCAGTCCGTCTTCGATCACTGGGCTATCCTCCCCGGTGGTTCTCCCATCGACCCCGCCACCAAGCCCGGCCAGGTCGTCCAGGAGATGCGCAAGCGCAAGGGTCTCAAGGAGGTCGTTCCCGGTTACGAAAACGTAAGTCTTTTTGCTCACTGTTATCATTGGTCTCATTCACTAACCTGCTTCTCTAGTACTACGACAAGCTGTAAAAATGTTCACGGCCATCCAGATTTTCCCTTCTGCCTGTCATTCGTGGAATCTTTTATGAGATTGATGAATTCAATACAATTTCTTCGGTTCAACAAAATTTTATTCCCTCATTCGTCGGCTTCGATCGTTCAGTCATTAGAAATCCGGGCATGAGCCTGGAAGCCTCTGGCATCATTGGTTCTATCCCTTTATTGCTTTTTCTACATTTTGCTTTTTACTGAGGGTTTCTTTTTTGCTTTTGCGTTTTTTTGCTGTAGTCTAGCAACCAGTTTCGATATGAAAATAAACTTGGTATGCTAGGCACAGTTGTTCATTTGTAGAGTTCATCAGTAATTGTAAACACTCCCCAAAAAAAGAGGATCAAAACGGTTGCAATCCTACAAGTGTAGCTTGAGGAGTCGACGGGTCCATTGCACAGGTAAAATATTGTGCTATGTCATTAAAGCACGTGATCCCAATGCTCGCGTTTTTGCCTTCGACTTCGCGTCCCCAGCTATGTCCTCACATTCCCTCACGGTTGGGGGTGCATGCTCTTATCGGCTTCAAGTAACTCATTCTTAAGCTTTGTTATTTGAAACACAAAGCTGTGATTTCGTCCAATTTAAGATTATCACTGTACACGAAGGAATCTTCCCGAGTGACGGCTTTGTTAAAACAGAATCCCTGCAATCGTTGCCACACACACGTCAATCGTTTGTTCGATACAATTCAAACTTCACACCTTGAAATTGCTCGAAAATCACCTTCGCCATGCAGTTCACTGATGAGGAGGCCGCTGATGTAAAGAAATGGGTGGTCAAAAAGCTGGAAGACATGTGAGTTAGACACATCGGGTCTTGATACGGGGCCCGTCCCGAGGAAAGAAAGCAGTAACTAATCTTGTTTATTTGGCCTATAGCTCTGATGCGGACTCTGATGTACTTGCAGACTATGTTTTGGCGCTAGTTAGGTCCGATGCGCCAGCCGAGGAAATCAAAAAGGTCTCAGTCGAAAACCTGGAGGATTTCCTGCGCGAACGTACGTCATGTCTCAATCGCATCGAATTGTTTCATATTACTAACACCCACTAGACACCCAGCCATTCGTTACTGAGCTCTTTACAACCTTCGGTCCCAAACAACCCGCGCCTCCTACGCCCGCACCTGCACCCCAGCCGCAGCGCCAGCCCCAACCAGCTGCTCACATCCCCTCGTCGCAACCTCCTGAGAATGCCCCGAGCGGCCCGAGAGCTGCTGTCACTCCTGGCAGTGCCAATCGCAAACGTACTTTCAATGAGGGATTCCAAGGGGAGCCGGAGCAGGATGATGGTGGGTTCCAGAATCGCGCTATGAAGACTGCACGCCGTGGCGCGCGCGGAGGTGGTCGCGGTGACTTCATGGGTGGACATCAGATGCAACAGGGTCAAATGTTCTCTCCGCAGCAAATGGGCCAGCAATTCTCTCCACATCAACAGGGCCAACAGTTCCCTCCACAGCAGCCCGGTGGTTTCCCCATGATGACCGGTTTCCAGCCCTTCGACCCAAATGATCCTATGGCAGCAATGATGGCTATGCAGAGTATGCAGGGTATGGGATTCCCGCCGATGCCGGGCATGCCTATGCCTGGAATGCCTGGTCAGCCAGGAATCGATCAGATTCCACAAAGCACCCAGCGATGTCCGTTCTATGATACCCAAGGTATTTGTTACCTAGGAAATACTTGCCCCTATCAACACGGTGATGGCGGTGCCTCGAAAGATGATGGTAAGAGACATCTGTTCATCCTAGATATACCATTGCTAACAGTCGCAGAATATGATCCCAAGACTGCGGGTACACATGCGCAGCGGGGCGGTGCTCACATGCGCGGCGATCGTGGCCGCGGCCGTGGTCGCGGTGGATTTAGCGGACGAGGACGCGGCCGGTCCGATTTCTCATCGGCAGGACCTAATGAGGACCAGTCCGTTACGACAATTGTTGTTGAGCAGATTCCCGATGACAAGTTCAATGAGGAGTCTGTGCGCGAGTTCTTCTCTGAGTTCGGCAGCATTACTGAGGTCACCTTGCAACCCTACAAAAAGGTGGCTTTGGTCAAATATGAAACTTTCCCTGAAGCCAAGGCCGCGTGGTCCAGCCCCAAGGTCATCTTCGATAACCGTTTCGTGAAGGTTTACTGGTACAAACCGAATCGCGAGGAACATCAGGGCAGCGCACAGCCTGAGACCCCAGTCTTCAACCAAGAAGAATTTGAGAAGCAACAACAAGAAGCACAGAGGGTGCATGAGGAGAAAATGAAAAAGCGACAAGAGACCGAAGCAGCCAAGCAGGCTCTAGAGCGCCAACGCGATGAACTTATCAAGAAACAACAAGAGGAGCGGGCCCGTCTCATGCAGCGGATTGGAGTCACAGCAGACACAAGCAATGCCACCGGTACTGGAGACGCCATGGCCACCGAGCCTGCTGCTGATGAGAATATCAGTGAGGAGACGAAAAAGCTACGGGCTCAGCTAGCTGCCCTCGAAGCCGAGGCCAAGAGCCTTGGTCTCGACCCTTCTGCTGACCCTTCTGCACGGGGTGGATACCGGGGCCGTGGTGGATTCCGTGGCCGAGGCACATACCGAGGACGTGGCGCTTATGATCCCAACTTCCGCGGAGGATATCGTGGGCGCGGTGGATTTGCCCCTCGGGGACGAGGAGGTGTGCTGCGTCTGGATAACCGACCTCGACGAGTCGCCGTATCGGGCGTTGAACTCAACTCAGACAAGGACGAAGCATTGCGTCAGCACCTGATGGTAAGTCGTCTATCTTTCCAATCAAACAAAGCATATACTAATTTGTTATGTTCTAGGGCGTTGGCGAATATGAATCTATTGAAGCACACCCAGACCAGCCCAACACCGTTGTGGTGGCATTCAAAGAGCGCTTCCAGGCCGAGAAGCTCATGTTCTCCCCCTGGAACATCCCCTCTGTGGGCGAGGTCCAGCTTACCTGGGTGGCCAACCCGCCCATTACACTTCCTACTGCTGGATCAACGGAATTCAAGGGTGGTATTGGACAGGACGAACCAGAAGACACTATCATGTCGTCTACCTCGGTGGGCAACCCCGCTCCTGCACGGGATATGGACTATGACGTTGCGGAGGATGACAGCTGGGGCGCTTAATCTCGTTACATTTTGTGTACTATCACATGTTGGTTGTATAGGCTGCATTAAGCTATTCTTATGGGAATGGACGTTCCATTCCCGACCTGTTGTCTAAACCAAAATCCAGCTCCAGTAGAAAAGCAGAAAAGTAGATCCTCTAGCTTCTCACACGCCCTGAGGAATTAACTCGACCATATATCCATCCTATTAACTCGCATTAGCCCAAGCATCCTTTCCCAGGATGTTATAGAAACATCGAACTCACCGGATCAGAAACCATAGCAAACTTCTCAAAAAACCAAGCATAATTCCCATGAATCTCACCCCGCCCAATCCCCCTCTCCTCCTCCCACTCCGAAAGCGGCACAGTCTCCCTCGAACAAACACCAATATCCTTCAGGATCTTAACCCCACCATCCTTAAGTCTCTGCACAGCAGCCGGCACATCAGGAACCGTGAATCCCAGATGCGCAAATCCAAGATGCGGGGGTACATTCCCCGTAGAAACCCCCCCATCCGTCTTCTCCGTGCCATGCACATGATACAACTCCAACAACCCGCTGGTCCTAGTCATAACAGGCATTTCACTTGTTTTCTTCGCCCACGCACTAATATCCTCTTCGGTCTCTGCATCTGCTGGCGGGTGGCCGAGGTAATAGATCGTGAATGGACCGGCATTCATAGTGAAGATTACCCGCATGCCTAGTAGATCGATATAGAAATGTAGTGAGCGGGCTGGGTCTTGGATGCGCAGCGCTAGGTGGTTTAGTTTGTAGTCTTTTGTTGCTGGTGTTGGAGGTGGGTTTAGGCTTGGGGCTGCGTTGAAGTGGCCTTCTTCTTGGGCTGGGATGGTTTGAAAGTTGTTTGAGGACATGGCTGGATGTTGGATGTTATAGATAGATGAGTTGGTTCTGGTGGAACTGGGTCGGTTTAGGGGATATAAAAGTATATAAATTGGGCATTCATGGGAGATTTTATAGAATGAGGGGTTGATATTCCCAAGCGGATCCCGTTTGGCCTATCAAAGAGATCGATCTGAGTATGTTGAAATACTATTGCTCATGGATGCACGAAAATGAGTTGATCTTCGACAACAGAGTACAAAGTACTGCTGTGTACTACTTCAAAAGACTACGTCTACTGGTAAACAATCATATCCAGACCACCTTCATACGGCATCGTCACTCGCCGGAATCCACTGCCCTCGGCATCAAGATACGCAAAGAGCTCCCGGTACTTCTCATCCGCCTTGATCGTATTATCGGCGATGATCACAGCGCCAGGTCGGAAGTACGGCTGGACGAGCTTCAGCGCAGGGAGCGCGAGAGGAGTCCAGACTAGGAAAGTAGTGGTTAGTATAGATGCTGCCAGTATCACTACTGAATATCGAATGTGCAACGTCGAATACAAGATAACAGGGCGTGGTATCAAACAACGGATTGTCTATGCCACCTGCATCAACCCGAGAAAATAAACACAACTTACTATCCAGCAACAAGAAATCCACAGTTCCCAAATCAGAAGTAAGCGTCTCCCGCAGATCTCCAACACGGAGATCAATAACATCCTCAACGTCCTTGCCAGCAGTCGCCCAATGCTCTCGAGCAATATTAGCCTTGGACTCCTCTTTCTCGGTAGCGATAACCCGCGGCTTAGTGGTAGCGCCAACGCGCTTCGCATTCTCTGCAACAGCAAGTGCTAGGTAGATGGTGCTAACACCGAAGCTGGTGCCAGCCTCAACGACCGTCTTTGCATTGATAGTGCGCAGGACGTGGTAGACTAGTTCGCACTTATCCTGGTCGAGAGCGATGAACTTGTCCAGCATGATGGAGTCGAATTCGGCACTGCATTGTTGCGGTAGAGTGTGCCAGTCCACGGTCGATTCTTGGGTTAGGGATTTTGTGTGGAGGTCTTTGAGGAGAGATAGGATCTCGGGGGATGTTGTTAGGGGTGAGGGTGACATCTTGATATTGGTTGATGGTTATTTGGAAACTGGGATTTGTGGGCTGGGGGTATGTTTTACGCTGCCAGGCGAAGGAAGGGAAGAAGTACTAAAATAGTCACTTCAAAAATTCTTCAAACTCTGATATCTCAGACCAAATAGATGTTTAGTGAGTCACCGGGGAGCCCTGTGTAAAGTCCGTATATTCAGAAATCCGTACTAACTACGTACGCCCTGTAGCGGGGAAGTCTGGAGTGAAGCAGCATGCAAGTGTAGCCGACATAAGCACTATTACGTAGGAATCTATATGCAAATATCACCTGATCTGCTTCGACCGTATTACCAATGATCATAGTACAAAGCCTGAAGGCCTAAGCTTCAGCCATGTTCAGGTTGTTCTTCGAGAACAGTGATTTTAAGGTTCTTGTGTAGCTCGTGTATTGTATGTATTATAGAAATCCATGTGATTAGAGAGTGCCTTGGAATATATATACAAAAGAATAGTCTAAATCAAGGAAGATGGTATAAATATATATAGGAATGGAAAAAAAGACATGATGACATCAGTAACGAATCAGCGAGCTCTGGATGGCGGAAGTCAGCTCAAAGGGCATTTTCAAAATATGAAGCAAACATAGCTCAACCACAGCTCTTTGCGACAGTGGCTTTTGGACATAACGTCCCCGGTACATTGCAATAAACGTCTGGAAATCAGAGCTGTCTTCAATGAGCTCCATGCGATCTGCGGTGTCGATGCACAGGTTACGAGCATCTCCTGGAAGGTACTCGCTAGCCATTGGAGACAACGAACTTACAACCCGAGGGACAAAACCCTGCATCATGACAGCCAGATATTCTCTGTCGCCAGCAGTGCAGGGGCGGAGGTCGTCTCTTCCAAGGGCTAGAACTGCGCTACAAGCAGAGTGTCAGATCTATCAAATTTATAATTTATACAAGGACATAAAGACTTACACATAGAAAAACGGATCTGGTGCCTGAAGTTCGATCCCCATTTGATGACTGCTTATCAGTACCTATCATGCATGGTATATAGCAGAACTTGCATATGTACTTACTGAGGGACTTCAGCTATAACCAGTGTAGGTACCGAGACATTTTTCAGTAGTTTTTCAACCAATGGCCTTGCTGGAAGAGAGGTTCCATTTTTGCCATCGATGCCATCGTAGACTCCATTATTGAACTGAAATCGCGATGTACTGTCTTCAAAATTGTCGCCAAATACACTTGTTTATTAGAAAGATCCTTGCAAAAAAAAGGGGGGGGCAGACATAGCCTACATTTGACCTTGCCCGTTAAATACCACAATTTTGGCGTCGATAGACATCTGGGATGGAATAGGTATGTCTCCATGGTTTCCATGGAAAAAAAAATATCGCAACGAGCCTTGTCCATAGGATGAAGCGGCCATTTTGTGTGACGTGCGTTCCTATTGCCGTTTTGAATAATTGTGTCGTGTAGGTCAAAGATCCGGATGATCAGTTGGTCCGTGCCAGGCAATCTGGGTACAAAGTAGACAGCGAGGTATCAAGCTAGTTTTGGGAGAAATCACGTCAAAAAAAAAGCCAAGTTCCGAGGCCCGCGGCCAAGATGTTCATTGAGAGATAGGGAAGATCTGTGCGAGGTACGTACGATGTACCTATGTTCTGTAGCGGGGAAATGGGGTTAGACAAGGGTGAACATCAAGAATCAACAATACTTAGAGAGAAACGCCGAGTCTAACCGAAATAAGCAATATCGTCGATTCAAGTGCAGCCTTGGTATGGTCCGACAGCTAGAAATACCTAGCTAGCTACTACAGCGACTATGATGGCTGTCCAGGCCCGAAATTGGCCCTAATATTGGAAGCAGAATATCGCTATGACAATTCCATTTTACTGCTCTAGCAAATCCGCATAACTATTCAAAGACCTCCCGATCAAAGAAACCATCTCCCAGATATAATCCGCCGTAAACAGCCGCGCCCACAAACGAGTAACCGCAGCACTGAGCCGTGTATTAGTAGCGAGCAGCCACTCCCTCGAAACACCATGCTGCACCTCCATGACCATCTCAAGCACGAAATCCCGCAACCGGATCTCCTGCTCCGTCAGCCTTGGGTCCGGATCCGACACCGTAATCGCCTCCAGCCACTTAGCCAACAACACCGCGCACTCCAGTGAACACAAAGCGTGCTGATTTGACCACAGCGCCACCTGCGAGTGCGCGACAAATGAAATACCGAGCTTGACGGGTGTGCTGAGCGCATGTGCGCAGTGGAGCGCTGCGCGCGTGAGCCGGTCGCCGCGTCGAACAGAGAGGTTCTCACGGAGACTCGTTGCGATCTGGACGGGGTCCCATGTTTGTAGTTGGCGGGCTGAGCCGCAGTCTGCGTTGAGTCGGATGTAAGCTAGTCGGAGTAGAGCTGCTGATGTGAAGGATAGCGGGCCGTTCGGGCTGAGTGGGTCGATAGAGGAGTCTTGGTTACGTTCCCAGCATTGGCACCAGCGTTCGAGTGCTTGTTCGACGTGTACGAGCTCCGGTGTGGATGTCATTGATGAGGGGGTGAAGCGGTTCCGTCGTGATACGGGTAGTCGGCCCGCTTTCGTCATTAGCCAGATGTCTTGTAGGATTGCGTGGATTAGAACGTAGCCGCCGAGTGAGGAGAATCGTTCTACATTGTCGGTTTGCCCGAATAGGGCGGAAAGCGCATCTTGGAATTTTGGTTCCCCGGGACTCTTGAGGCGCTCTGCCTGCCAGAGGTCTGCGCGTGAGGCTTGCCATTCTTTTTCTGTGCAGGGTAGTTCGATTGTGAAATCTTCAGTGAGAATCACTGGTGGGACGTCGAAGACGATGGTTTGGATGTTGAAGAAACAGAGAACGATTAGTTTGGTGCGCTTTACGCATTCCTGTCGTATCCAGCTACGCCAAGTCCCGTCATGTTCGGGCAGTCGGTTGAGTCCTCCTTTTCGGATGAGCATTTCCATTAGACTGCGAAGCGACAGCGCCTCGTGGTATGGGGGATTATTGATAAACCATAATGACACCGAAGTCAGATACAATAACGATTGTAGAGTTTCCAGCGTATCAATGTCGTCGGCCGCGTTGATCGGAGGCAGCTTGCCCGACTGGAAGACCCGACGAACATGTTCCAAAGTCACTGGTTTGGCAATCTGATAGAGATGCATGCTAGTGTTTGGCTCGCGGCAATACCGTGCACCCAATGCCGCCATTGATAGGAAGAGCGGTAATGTCATCGAGTCTACATCGAGGGTTGGGATATGCAAGATTGGGTAGTGATCATGAAACCCGGTTACATATCCCGTCAGACATCGGGATAGCGCATGTCGAGATGGCAGCGATGGATCTGGGACCACATTGGCGTAGTCGGATAACATATCCAAGAGCTTCTCTCGGCATTGAGCCGTGACCGGTACAAATCCCGTGGGCTGGCGGGTCTTGGGAGAGATGTGATACCCCTCCGGCTGGAGCGAGGGCAACTGAGCGCCATGTCGGGGAAGTACAGAACTCGAAGGAGTTGATGGGGTATTTTCAGTCAGCGTCCCTCTATCAGAAGATCGATCATAGTCCGGAACCGGTGAGAAGTTCAGCGGTGGGAATAGCGGGAGTGGCTGATAAGCCGGCGAGAAAGGATGATTTGGCAAGGGGACGGTATCCAAAAAGGAGGTAAAGTCATGGCCATGATATGATCCTGGTCCGAATCCACTTAGAGCATATCCAAAATCCGGGCCTGGAGATGGGGTTCTGGGTCCTGTAGAGGGGGTTTCTGTGCTGGCCAAGTGAGCACCCAGCATCGGGCGCTGTATGGCCGGCGATAATGCTGGGAAATGCTCATCGGACCCGTGTAAAGCACTGCGATTAGACTGGGTGTGATTCGCGCCTACAGATGCCAAAGACTCTAACCCGTTTAGGGTGGGAGGATTTGCGGGGGAGGGCGTGTGTGTCTGATTGCTAGCTGGACTGGCGTCGGGGTTGTGCGAAAGACGCTCATGACGGCCCAGCAGATCCCTATAGTTGTAAGTGTCTAATAAACATGTATTGAAATATTGGATTGTGTATCATACTTGCGTGTAAAGGCCTTCGGGCATTGATCGCAAATGTACGGTTTCTCTTTGGTATCTGTGGGGTATTAGATGTATTCGATCCAAGCTTGTCCAACATTGTGCTTGAATACATACGTGAGCGATCGTGTCTTTGAAGATGTTCTAGCCGAGCAAAGGCCCTTGGGCACCGATGACATTGATGGGGCTTGCTATTCGACATTGGGGGTGGACATGATGTAGAGTGGATGTGTGTGATATCTCGGGGGGTTGTAGCGCATCTCCGGTGAGTTTGGCCGTACCATATGACCTGTCCACGTGTACCGAATACAGGTCAAATTGATTGGAATACTTTGTACGGAGTATATCTTCCAGCTCTAACCTTGCATAGCCATGTCTGCTGGCATACCCTGGTGATTCTTTGTTGATTGTTAATCACTTCTACCGAGTCCAATTTCCCCATTCCCCAGTCCCCCAAATTGGGGAAATTACCATCACAACTACGGGTGCCTGATTATACTGCGGAGAACTATACCCCGTATTGTTATGAATGATATGTGCTACCAATCCCTCGTTTTATTCTTGTGTTTCCTCTATCTTTAGGAGTAATACATATAAAATATTCCTTATTTTCCTATAATCATTGATATGAAGTGAAATTCCTTTTAAAAAAGGAAGTAAAGCTAGGACATATTCAGTAGGCGGTATACGATGACTCCAAACGCCAAGGCCGGGGCCCACCATGGATAAACCGTTATCAGTTCCATTATCAGTTCCGCGGTGCCTATTTCGTTTGAAGGATTTCTTCAACTCATGGCATTTATAGCAAAATATAATGCAACTCCGCATGATACATATGATTAAATGCAAAGGGCCGTATAGAGGAGTAGCATGCTCAACATTATTCCGCATCAATACCCAAACAATATGGTAGCATCGGTGTATCATCAAATTGGGGGGATTATTATGATTATGACTCGGCCTTTGATCCTTCCAAGATTCTCCAATTTTCTCTCGCACGACTCCACGCCCTATATACTTAGCCTATAAATCATCGAAACTCTGTCAAAACCCCCAAAAAATCTCTTGTCAACCCTTATTCTGACTCACTACATGGCATCTATAACGCCAGAGTCATTTGGACAACAACCAACAATCATGGAAAAGCTCAAGGAGAATTCCGAGTCTCTGTGCGGATCCCAATATATCGAATTCCGGTATTTAGAGCTAGAAACACCCTTGCCGACCCCATGCATTACTTTACCTCCCGGTCCTGCTCAGTCAGCACCACCGGAACCGCCTAGTCTAGAGGATTATATATCTCCGTTTCTGTGGCCAAAATGGCGCAAGTCCATGATGACCTATATCGCCTGCGGGGTTACTGCATTGGCGGGTTATGCAGCGGGCGAGGTCAGCCCTGCATCGGAGGAATTGACTAAGTTGTGGGGGATCAGCACCGTGGTGTACAATCTGAGCATCACGCTTTTCTGTTGTGGGTTTGCATTGGCGCCAATGGTGCTAGCTCCCTTTTCCGAGATCAATGGACGGAGACCAATCTTTATTGCCAGTGGAGTTCTCTTCGTTGGTATGTATACCTTCCTTTAACTGTATTACTTGGCATATGCTAACTTGGTATGTCAATAGCTAGCTTAGTTGGCTGTGGAGGTACACAGTCCTTTGCTGGATTGCTTGTAGCTCGTTTCTTCCAGGGTGTGGGTGGATGTATGTATAACCTTTCCCAAATTCTCGATTTTCCCATACATTGCTCAATAGATACATGTACTAACTTGACCCTCACAGCAACATTCTCCACCATGGTTGGCGGCGTGATCAGCGATATCTATCACGCTAAAGACCGTAACACAGCTATGGCACTCTTCTCGGCAGCTGCTTTGTTTGGTACTGGCCTGGCACCGTTGATCTCTGGCGTAATCATCACACGCACCACATGGCGCTGGGTATTCTACTCGCATGCAATCGTGTCCGCCGCATTTGTCATCGTTATCTACTTCTTCTTCAAAGAAACGCGCGGCAGTGTCCTGCTAAGTCGCAAAGCAGCAAAGTTAAACGAGTACTACGAGCAACTTGAAGAGGCTGGCCACCACGGCGTAATCCTGTCGAGCGAAGATTCTGAAGAAAAATGCATTCGTCGAATCAGATGGAAGGTCAAGAGCGACGAGCAGCGAGAATCCATCGCAACCATGATTCAGATCTCGGTATCCCGACCATTCCGTAAGTCTTCAAAAGCAATCATGCCCGAGGAAGAAAGAATATCAAGCTAACATATAAATTCAGACATGCTCCTCACAGAACCAGTGGTCTTCTTCTTCTCCCTCTGGGTCTCCTTCAGCTGGGCAGTCCTCTATCTACAATTCGGCTCTGTACCACTCATCTTCCGCACAAACCACAACTTCACAATTGAGCAAACCGGCGCCGTCTTCACCTCTATGTGCGTTGGCGTCATCTTCATCACAATCATCAGTATCTACCAAGAACGCATCGCCATGCGCTTCGGGAAACACTCCACTTCCCCCGAAGGTAGACTGTATTTTGTTTGCATTGAATCTGTGCTTCTGCCTATTGGAATGTTCTGGTTTGGCTGGAGTTCTTTCCCATCTGTTCACTGGATCGTGCCCGCTATGGCCGTTGGTTGTGCTACTATGGGCATCTTTTCTATTTATCTTGCTACGTTTAATTACCTCGCCGATACTTATCATCGGTATGCGAGTTCGGCGATTGCGGCGCAGTCTTGTTGTAAGTATCTTCCTTGGGTCGCTCTCTTGAAGGTCTCGTATGTGTTGAGATGCTAACATCTTCCTCGATAGGCCGAAATTTGCTCGGCGGTGTCTTTCCTTTGGTTACGACTGCCATGTTCACCAATCTTGGTTATCCAGAGGCATCAAGTCTGCTGGGAGGACTTGTAAGCTGCAGCAAATACTAAAAGAAGAAGATCAACTGACTGGATCGAAACAGGGTGCTGCTTTGACTCTGGTCCCCTGGGTGCTGGCCTTATATGGACCCAAGATTCGAGCCAGGAGTAAGCTCGCAAGTGTAAGTGATGTCCTCCATTAGTTCACAGTTCGAGACTAACAGAATGATAGGAGCTCGCACATTAAAGCGCATACAAACTACGAACACGACAAAAAAGTAATTTAATCATAGTATTTTTTGGGCACAGGATCATATTCATAGTAATTATCAATACCTTATTCATATAGAGAGCAAACAACATGCATATTGTCAACTATTTTAGCCCAGATAAATGCCAGGTCTGAATTTTCATTACAGCAAATCAAGTGAAGTTGTACCAATTGTACGCTCCCTGTGATCTGGGTATGGCTATACCACAATTTTAAAACCCCCACAATGCTAAAGCGATGTACATGACATGATCCCAGCTTTTGTTCATGCAAAATCCAAAAATCTAGGATCAACAAAATGCAATTACCTCGGGTGTTGATGATCTCTAAATGGATGTGCACCATTAATTCGAGGACGATATGATGCATATCTTTCCTCGTCCTCGCTATCACTATCCATTTGATCCAAAAGACGATCGATATCATCACCAGCATGAGCCTCCAGCCCTGGTTTTCTTCCGGCCTCACGACCATTATGAGACTTGGAGCGTTGGGAGCCTTGACTTCCATTGTGGTGTGCTCCATTGCTGGAAGCGTTTACTAACTCGTTCAGGCTGCTTTGCGTGCTCTCTGGTTGCAGCGGACGAGGGCTGAAACGATACCCTGAGTTCTCGGGGCTAGACATGAACATCAGGGTTTCAATGGCGTCTTGTTCCATGAGTGTGCTTTGGGATTGGGTGCGGGTTCTGTAGAAGCCGTTCGGCGTGGATGTTGGTGCGTGTGCGTGAGACGATGAGAGTAAGGGCGCTTCTGATCCTAGGACTTGTTGGCCGTTGAATGGCCGGGTGAGGCCGTTCTCTTGGTGTGAATGATGGCGTCGGTGGCGGGAGATAGGGTTGTGGTCTGAAGGTTTGGAGACTGCGTTAGGATTCGGCCGACGGCGCTGGTTATGACCATTTGATGAGATAATATCCACAGGCGGTGCTAGTTTTGGAGTCGGGAGGAATTGATTAGATGAGAATGCTGATCGCGAGCGGTTATGGCTCGGAAAATGATGAGGGTTCCCGTTGGAAGATGTCTGGGAACTTTGTGACAAAGGCGTGGTGTTTCCTGCCTGTAATGATGCGATGTCACTTGCTGCCGACGTGCTCAATGGCGACGCACTGTTGTGCGTTTGTAGTGCGGTTTGGGGGGTAGCTTCTCGCGACTGTCGAGCCTGCTCTACTTTTGCGGCTGCATATGATAGACGTGTACGGATATGGACCGATAACTGGGTAATACAAATGAGCTATAAGACTCTTGAGTGAGCGGGTGAGCGGGTGAGCGCGTTACCTGTGCAATTCTACTCCCATAAGCTGACGAGCCCGTACTCTTCGAACGTCGCCGTGCAGCTCCATTCCCGTCGGTACTATGAGCTGTCGGGGGATCTAAATTGGATTTGAAGTCGCCAGCTGCTGTCCGTTTCTGGCTTGGGGCCAGGCGAGTATCAAAGTTCGACCTTGTGCGTGAATGTTTTGGCGATGGTGGCGGTGATATTGCAACATTGCCGGCTTTGATAGGCGATAGTGAGGGTTGCCATCGATCTATTGACGAGCCTCCATTCACCGGCTGCATGTGCGGGGGAAGTTGGGATTCCAATAACTCCCGGTCCACCCCCGGTATCGATGTATGTCCATTCAATATATGAGAGGTACCGAACTCTTTCGACTGGCTATTACCATCGGTTGAGGATGAAGGAATGCTGGAAAGAGAGTCTGTGAAGGTGCTAGCGGAAAGATCTAGTCGTCGGCCATCGCCCGATGTATCGCTGCCGCGCTCCAACGATTCAATATAGGCTGAGTTCGGACCGCTACCCTCGCCGTGGGCGACGGTAACAGCATTCAAGCCATCTATTTGCAGTGACAATGGTTGCGGCAATTGTGTGGTTTTGGTTTCGGCCGAAGGTATTGGTTTGTGAGGCTCGGGAGACGTCGCGTTGTTCATAGAGTGGGTGTTCGCACTGGCCTCCGCATGGAGCGCCCCGCGATTAGGCCCATCGCGACCGTCATTCATGATCAAGGATGGGATGTGGAAGATTAAAAGATGCTGGGATAGCGACAATGGGCAAATACACGCGAGCTAGCTTTAATCGCGAGTTTACGCGGCCGCACGATCTCAACACGCATGTCCTGTCTCGAGTCACTGCATCAAGATTTGGGACCGGTAGTGTACGATACCAAGTGGTTTAGATACAACCAACAGTCGAGATCTCAACAAAACGCGTGGGAGTGCTGTGGGAACCAGGAGCATCTGCCCGATCGAGTGGCGATCGACCAGCACACGCGCAAGGGCTGCGACAGCAGGCGGCAAATTGGTTTCTATCCACCGTGATTTTGACCCCGGATGAAGGGCCCGGCAAGGGTTTGAATAAAAGAATGCGAACAGTAAAAACTAATTTGAATACAGATGCGCCACGGTATGTTAGCTCGTTGAATAGTTGGTAGAGGGAAGGGTTACAGCCTTAGAACACGCGTGTGAGGCGCGGTCACGTGGATGGTACTAAACCAATTTCATCAGGTTCAATGAGTTTCTATAGAAAGAGATTATTCTCAAATTAATCATTCTAAGGTCATTTAGAGATGAAGCTGGTTGAAAATGATTGTAAGTGGACTTGGTGGCTTGAGTGCGATGGTATACTTCGAAGTATACGGAGTACTACCACAACATCTATGAGACTACAATATACAACTCAAGAAAGGAAGATCAATTTCGGAGTTCTCAATAATGATATGATATACAGAAAATATACTCCAATGAATCAACTCTAATGACAAAAGAGAAAGAGACGCAAGTCAAAACTCAGCAGAAAGTAAAAATAAGCTGAGAGAAAGCAAAGATGGATCTAAGAGCAAAAGACAAAAGAAAGACAAAAGAAAGACAAAAGAAAGACAAAAGAAAGACAAAAGAAAGACAAAAGAAAGACAAAAGAAAGACAAAAGAAACAACAAAAAGAAAAAAGAAATCCCTTCCTCCGCATGAAAATAAAAACACAGGCATCAGCCTGGCAGGCCTTTGATACCTCTACCAGCACTGAGCCCCAAACACTCCGACCTCCTAGAGGATGCCCGCCGTCGACATCTTCATGTACTCCGGGGTCAGATCACGGGTGATCTGTTTGACCTCCGGAGCCTCAGGAACAGGGCGAGCAGCCACATGAGCAGGCTCTGGCGCCCCTAGAACGCACTGTTAGCATATCAAGGACAAGCGCATTGAGGAGATCAACTTACTTAGTTCCTTGGGGATATGCCAGTCCCCCACCATCTTCTTCCAGCCCTCACACTTCTTCTTGTAGTCCCGAAGCTTGGGCTTAAGCTTGGGCTTCCACTTTTCCTCACACTTGGGCTTTATCAGACAGTAACTAATAAATCTATTAGTATGCTTTTTTGCTCGGTGGGTGGATGGTGGACTTACAAAGTGCCTCCCAAGGCGATTGCACCGATGATCACGATGATCACGAGAAGAAGTGTGGCTATGGAGTTTTCCTTCTCCATATTAGCCTCGTATTGCTTGACAGCCCGAGGCGAGAGCGTGCTGACGTCGACAAAGCCTAGAATAGGAGCCATGTCTTTCTAAATGTTGTTTGATGCTTGGGAAAGATGTTTTATTGATGAATGAAGGCAAAGATTTGATGGAGCTTGATGAAAAGTAGATGTAGTTGGAGAATTGAAAATCGAGGAGAGTTGGAATTCACGAGGATAATATAGACTTGACTGCGAGTGCTACTAAGCTAGATATGGAATGAGCGATTATGTATGAAGCTTTACAAGTTAGGGTTTGTGCCGGATAGTACCCAGGTGGAAAGAGGATTGGTAGTTCGACCTACTAAACCACATTCGAGGGTATACATTTCAAACCCTTGGTTTGCTATTTGGTACTTTCCTGCTTAGAGAACTGCCAGGTACTTTCAGTTGCTTCAACCTTGATGTGAGTCAGGTATTATACTTCATGCATCGGAGACCAACCGACGGCGAGAAGGAGTATCTCTGGTTGTACATAGAAAAGACGTCTGTATATTGTAAGGTGATAAACCTACTGATCCTTTTGAAGTGATAACACCAAGGGCAAAAAAAAAAACACAAAAAGTGTAAAGACATCCGAACAAGACATCGGAGTGGTGTCAAGGTCACGCCCATAATATCATATTATCTTGAGCCAGATAAATCAGATTATGAAGTCTTGCATCTGTCATGGACAAAGGCATACCGGCCGACTAGTAATCTTGTGGCCCTAGTATAGAAAGAAATCATATAGTTAGTATAGGCGGTACGAGAGGAAAGCCTGGGTAAATAATAGTCGATGAAATAGTTTTGATATAAATGAACATCCAACATAATGTAGGTACAAGTTTTGGGTCCAAACGCCATCTATGCAAAAGACCCAAGTAGATTAAGACATGTCCAAGAACAAACAATAGATCACTTGCGCTTCTTGCCGCGTCCACGGCCACCAGAGTCTTCATCCGGGTTCTTGCGCTTCTTGCCCTCCTTACGCCAGTAATCATTACGCTCTCTCTTCTCGCGCTCGGCCTTCTTCTCCAGACTATCAGCCACCTTAGCACGGTAGACCTTGCGGCGCTCCTCTTGCTTGACGGCTCGCTTAGCCTGCTTCTCGTTACGCATGGTAGTGAGCTTCTGCATGAGGTCACGGGCCTTCTTTTCCTCGCCTCCGAGGACAACGGCACGCTTCTGCATGTAGGTCTGCTCCTTGTGGCCTCTCATTTTGGTGATCTGCGACTTGAAGGGAAGCTCGGAAGCCAGCTGTCTTGGCACACGGAGCGGGTTGAAGTGACGCTCTTGTCTTTCAATGGGTTTGTAAGTCGAATCTTTGAGTTGGGGAGTGGGGATGCCTTGAGAGTGACGGACTTCACCGGTCAAGCGCATGCCTTGCCATCCGTTATCACCCTTTTCGCCATCAACCTGGTCCAACAAGTTGGTCACAGGATTATAGTAGCGGTGAGGCTTAATGGGGTACCAAGCACGTAGGAAGACAATATCGCTCATCAAGATCTTGTCCTCGAATGTAGCACGGAAACAGCCATCGGGTTTGGATAGCGCACGCTTGATCTGACCGCGAATACCAGAGACAGTCTTGATGGATGCGCCTTCGAATTTGGCGATTTCCAGCGCAGAGGTGAACATGTCCTTGATGAAAGCGGTGTTCTTGAAGATTTTGTAAGGGTGACCAGTAAGCTTGAGCTTCTTGACGATTTCTGTATGCTCATCCACGCTCTGAACAACACCAGTGGCGGCAATGCGGAAACCGGGGTTCTTGTTCGAGAACGAGTTCACACACAAGAAACCGGTATTGGGAGCGACAAGAGGACCGTAGAAGGTAGCGAAGCAGTGCATATGCTCAGGTGTGTACTTAAGCATGCGGTTTCGCGTCCGACTGTCGGAGGTACTGTAAATAGGCATGGTTTGGAAGCGGCGCCAGCCAAGTGAGAAGATCAACGGATCGTTGGTTTTAAGAATCTTCTTGTGCCAGCGATGTCTCTTGATCCGGATCTGCACGTAACCAAATCGGTCCTCAGTAGGTGAGAGACCACCAACGATGACAGGGAAGCGAGGATTGAACTTGGAGACAAACTCGTAAGGTACGTTCTCAAGGACGATACGCGCATAGGTGCCGGCTTTGTAACCTTCAGCTCGGGCACGCGAGGTAGGGTCAAGAGTCTCGAATTCCGCGCGGTTGATGTCTGCTTGCTTTTGCAGCTTGGCTTTCTGCAGATCGTACCAATCGTCTTCCCCGAAGTGGCCATCAATACCATCATGCGTCCCGTCCTGGGTCTTTCCAAAGCCTTCGCGGTCCTCTTCCTCGAAACGTAGCTTTAGTTCTTCCTTCTTTTTGGCATTTCGCTCACGCTCGGCTTCCAGGTCGGCAGCGTTTTCGGGTTCATCATCGCCTTCTCCTTCCTCGTCTTCATCGCCATCTTCCTTGATACCGTTGAAGACTTCGCCAGACTCCAAGTCTTCATAGTCACCGTCGCCCTCGTCTTCATCCTCATCCTCGTCCATATCATCGTCCTCATCATCAGAGGCACCACCAGAGAGTTTACCAGTGATGAAGCGGAGTTTGATCATCTCGAGCAACTCCTCGTCCCGCCACTTCCGCTCCAGCTCATCGTAATCGTACTCTGGAACGGCGCGGAAGTCGGCTTGGTCTTTTTTCTCGTTGTTTGTCTTCTTGAAGAAGTCCTCGCCTTCGTCGTCAGCGGTTCTATCTTCCTCGTCCTCCTCATCGGAATCTTCACCGCGCCATGTCTTCACGACATCAGCTGGTGTAATTGACTCGTCATACATCATTCTTGACAGGTCGGTGACTCGGAAAGGAGGGCGCTTTCCGTGAAGAGACTTGGCATTGGCAAGCATGTTCTCCTTCCACCGAACATTGCCCTCCTCATCTTCTTCATCTTCTTCATCGTCCTCATCTTGTTCTTCATCCTCGTCTTCATCGCCGCTCTCGAGTTCCTGGTCTGAAACTGAAGAAATGGAGCCCAGATCAGAGTCACTGTCAGCGAAAGCCATTTCTTCTTCCTCTCCACCAGCATTTCCGTTCTGTTTGGCCTTAAAACGGGATTCAAAGTCTGCAGGCGCAGAAATTTCGAGTTCGCCTTCATCATCTGTCACGTCATCTTCGTTGATATCTTCATCGGCTTCTTCTTCGCTATCGCTGTCGAATCCTTCGGGGATATCTATGTCGTCTTGTTCGGGTACGGCCACGCGGGCGCGGCGTTGATCTTGCCGTCCCGTATCATCGTCATCCGCTTTATCGAGGGCCTCGCCGCCACGGAAGAGACGAACACCCTGGTCAGCCTCACCCAGCATCTTGCGCTCGCCTTGAAGACCAACAACAAGGTGCTCGCCAAGACCCCGGCGTTCCTCATCGTCCGAATCCTCGTCCGAGTCCCGGTCAAAGGTATTTGTCTTAATATCGATGTAAACTGCATCCTTGTCGACCAGGACACCGCCGACATCAGACATGGGAGCGAAAAGAAGCTTCTGGTGCTCGCCAAGCTTGCGCCTGTTGGACTTTCCTGTTATCTTGGCGATCTGCTGGTCCATGTAGGGAGTCGGGCATGGATCGGGCAAGCTCTCAATGTTGGCAACAGTCAGATCACCCACACCAGGAACATGGACTCGGGCGCCATGGGAGGGGAAATTAGTGCCGCGCAGGTAGCCGTAGAGCGCGACTGTGCGATCACACTTTTTGTTTTCCTCGATCTTAGTAGGTGGTGTAATATCCAAGAAACGATCTGCAAGAGCGTAAGGGTGCGAGTTGCGCCACACGAGTGGACGAGGATTTTTCATGACGGACAAGAATCGGGAAAGGTTGTGCACTTCACGATCGGGGTAACGGCCGTTGATAACACCAGACAAGTAAAAGAGCTTTGCGCCCGCGTATAGCTCACTCCAGAAACGGTGCTTCAGACGCTTCTTTGCATCCTTCAAAGTGCTGTGCTTCTTGAACTGATCAAGGTGAGTAAGAATACCGAAAACATTACCCGGCATACCAGCCGTCTGTAAGGCGTTCAAAAACTCCATGGTCTCCATCTCGAATCCAAAATTTCCGTCAATCATGAGAAGCACAATATCTGCGATCTTAGAAATATCGATCGCAGCTGCGAGAGAGTCGGACGGACATTCGATGAAGGTGAGACGCTTGCGCTTGGTTGTAACAACGGTCAACGGACCTTGCGGCGAACTGAGAGTTTGCTTGGTGTAGCGGCGGATCAGAGACTTGAGCAGAGTTGTCTTTCCAACTCCCGGGGGTCCCACGATGGCGACAACGACTGGCGGGGCCTCTTCGGGCATACGATCCACGAGGGGGACATGGAGTCTCTTTTCTCTGACCTAGAGAAGAAGTCTAGGTTAGCATCAATCGACTAGTAGAAAATTTTCATATGCATACATCATGCGACCGCGCAGCCTGCTTATTGAGCTTTCCAGGTCTGGAAGTGACAAAGGCTTTCGGATTAGCACCTGTAAAGCAAAATCTTTGTTAGCATGGGCTTGAAAGCAGAATATTTGTAGATGTATCGGAGCGGTCTCGCCATACCCTCAAATTTCTTCTTCTCTTTGGCAGGGCGATGCGCCCTGTTGGATTGATCCTCCATGCTATCTGTAAAGAGGTATGATACCTCAACAGATTCACTGCTTTTATCAAAAAGAAATAAAGGCAAGCGCAATCGAGGTAGAGGACTTTCCCCAACAGTCAAAAAATTAGCGGTAATTATTTTTTTGCCAAAGCGGAGTAGATAAATCTTAGTCAGGATATTGGATATCTGTCGGTGCATGAAGCCCGGCATACCGGAGGATTTATTAATCCTTCATGTTTTGTAATTAATATATGTAATCGAGGCTTCATATAAATTGTACCCGGAAGCCGATACAGAAATACAGAGAGTTGAAACCCATTCATTGGACCCCCCTATTTTACAATACCACTTGCTCCAACAATATCTAAATGCCTGAGGCATTAACAATTCTGTGCCTTTGGCCTGAGGCAGAAAGATTTTGTCGGCGCAGATACACCAGGATACCGGAGGATTTATTAATCCTAAGTA